TTCCTCGTCTTTGCTACTTTACAGCAAACAGTTTCTTATTCATGGAGACTTGGGCTCAACAGCCAATTTGGAGAGATTTGTTAAACAATAAATGACTTTATAAAGTCACTTATTTTTGTTCTATATCAGTCTTTTGATCTGCCACAATAATGTAATAATGAATTTAAATGAAAATACCTCAAATTGAAGGCTTTTCTCAGCAATTTTTAGGTGAGATTAAAATGAGATTAATTAGATTAATTAATTACAGATCATAATTAATTAATCTCTCAATTTTTTTTATCGCATGACAGCACAAATTTTATAGTTATAATTATTATAGTGACATAAATAATAAATAATAATTACATTTGATCTGAAAGCCTCTGTCTGTATATAGTTCAAGGTTAGTTTTCAGTCAATAGTGTTTGACTCGCCCCATCACTCATGTTCTGTTAAGAGTTTAAACAGGTCTGAATCCTGTGGGGAATTTGCTGTTTAACTGTCAGATTACAGATTTGTTGACTTTGTTTATGATGAATATTTCTGTAATATCTCAGGGCGAATCCATATGAAACAAAAACATCTTCTCTGTCGGTATAAATGTACAAAAGGGAAATTATTTTTTCATATCAATAGGTTCAGAAGTGGTGCCATGAATCAACTCCAAAGACGTGATGTTGACAGTTGAAAGGACTTTAAGATATAAGATTAATAATGCAGTTTTGTTCTCCTAATCTCTAACAAATAATACAAGAGTTCAACTTTTGTGAAAGAAATACCCCAAATAAAAAAATCACAAACAAACATCATCAAATGAACACTTTGAATGAATCAATGCAATGAAAACACTTAAAGCTCCTGTATTACACAAACTCTTATGAGCTTTAAGTCATGTTAGAATGTTGTTACCTCCTCAAAAACAAAAACCTGGACTTGTGTTTGTTTGACTAATCCTGCATTATTAGTCTGTCTACATGTCCAAAGCTCAAAATGCTCTGTTCCACCTTGTGATGTCATGAAACTGTAGTTTTCAAATGAACAGAGAGTGGAGCACTTCCTGTATTAACACATGACATCACAATGTGGAACAGAGTGTTTTCAGTTTGAGAGAGAAGAACTCAGGCTAAATCTGTAGGTTTGTGTTAAACATGTGAATGAAACAAAACACAACTCCAGTTCTGTTTGTGACGAGGAAACAACATTAGAACATAGATCAGAGAAAATAGTGTGATATGGGCCCTTTAAGTCTCTATTGTTATTGTGAAGTTTAGAGGAAATACACATACATCATATTTGGAAGTGTACGTCTTTATTTTGTATAAAAGCAAGCTGCTGTTTATCCCAGAGCGTCTGTGGGAGAGGGGCTGTTGAAGACTCCATTTCGGGCGTAAAATGTGCTTTTGACGACTGACGATCGAGCTTGAGTGGGAGTTTTGTAATCCAGAGTGAAGTCTCCTGGAGAAACAGAACAGAACAGAACAGAACAGGGGATTATAGAGCGAGAGAGAGAAGGAAAATGAGAAACACATGAATCATTCAGGAAATCAAATAAAAGTTGATCTTATTTTAACCTGGAGAGACTCAAAACAGACACAAAGAGAAAGTATTAGAAGTTTTATTGAATTGAATTGAGACGATGAGAGATTGAGACGATGAGAGATGAAGGAGAGAAGATGAAGAGGACGATGAGAGGATGAGAGGATGAGAGAGAGTGAAGAGGACGATGAGAGGATGAGAGGATGAGGAGAGTGAAGAGGACGATGAGAGGATGAGAGAGTAAAGGAGACGATGAGAGGATGGAGAGTGAAGAGGACGATGAGAGGATGATGAGAGGATGAGAAGAGATGGAGACGATGAGATGAGATGATGGAGAGATGAGAGATGAGGAGTGTGAAGGAGATGATGAGAGGATGAGGAGAGTGAGAGGACGATGAGAGGATGAGAGGATGAGAAGAGTGAAGGGGACGATGAGAGGATGAGGAGTGTGAAGAGATGATGAGAGGATGAGTAGAGTGACGGAGACGATGAGAGGATGAGGAGAGTGACGGAGACGATGAGAGGATGAGTAGAGTGATGGAGACGATGAGAGGATGAGGAGAGTGAAGGGATGATGAGAGGATGAGGAGAGGATAAAGAGAGTGAAGGGGACGATGAGAGGATGAAGAGAGTAAAGGAGACGATGAGAGGATGAGGAGAGTGAAGGAGACGATGAGAGGATGAGGAGAGTGAAGAGGACGATGAGAGGATGAGAGGATGAGGAGAGTGAAGGGAGATGATGAGAGGATGAGGAGTGTGAAGAGGATGATGAGAGGATGAGGAGAGTGACGGAGACGATGAGAGGATGAGGAGAGTGACGGAGACGATGAGAGGATGAGTAGAGTGATGGAGACGATGAGAGGATGAGGAGAGTGAAGGGATGATGAGAGGATGAGGAGAGTGAGGGGACGATGAGAGGATGAAGAGAGTAAAGGAGACGGAGAGGATGAGAGAGAGACGATGAGAGATGAGAGAGATGGATGAGAGGATGAGAGGATGAGAGAGTGACGGAGACGATGAGAGGATGAGGAGAGTGATGGAGACGATGAGAGGATGAGAGAGTGAGGAGACGATGAGAGGATGAGGAGATGAGGAGACGATGAGAGGATGAGGAGAGTGACGGAGACGATGAGAGGATGAGGAGAGTGAAGGAGACGATGAGAGGATGAGGAGAGTGAAGAGGATGATGAGAGGATGAGGAGAGTGAAGGGGACGATGAGAGGATGAGAGGATGAGGAGAGTGAGAGTGTTATATTTATCTCTCCTGACCCAGTCTCCAGCCGTACTCCCAGGATGACACCAGTGGGAAATCAAACTTCTGCTCAGGTAACATCTGGCCACGCCTCCTCAGGTACTGGCTCCGCCCCCTGCCCTGGACACAACCAGTGATTCTTCATTACGTATCCAAACATTTAACATATACGACATAGATTTAGTTTACAGACTGAGGGTTTTCGGGGCCCAGAATTGGACCCTCTTCCTCTTCATTTCTATTGGAGCGGCTCAAATGTGTGTCTACAGTTGTGGTACACAGGCTGAATACTCGTATATACTCACCTGGTGGGAGGAGTCCTGGTACAGGGACTGTCTGGTCTGAGGGGAGGCGGGTCTCATCACTGGAGGAACTGTGAACGGCCGCGCCCTCTCCGCAGGAACAGGAAGTGATGTCGCAGGAAGTGAGACTGAGGAGAGGGATGTGTTGCTCCGCCTCACGGTCGTCATGGTGATGGGAGGAAGCACTAGACTGAGGAAAACAGAGAATCAAAGGTTTAGACCAATCAGAGCCCAACAATACAGAGTGGAAATGTCACCACATGATTTAGTATTTTCAGTCTGGGTGGATCTGTGTGAGAATTGGTGAAGAGTGAGGAGAGATTTTCAGTAGAATTCCTAAAGCAGGACTTCAGAATGTCTCCAGCTGCTCGTCTCTGTGGAGCAGCTTTGACTAGAGAGCTTCTCACTGTGACATTCTGTATCTCCATTTAGGCGACGCCATTGGCTCAAGTTACAAGTCAGATCTACGGAGAGGGGAATGCATGATTTTCAAAGACGGTTAAGAATACCAGGTGCTACAGTGGCGACAATGACAAAAACTGTTATTGTGTTCTTGGGCAAGGCACTTCACCTACATTATCTGATATGGATGTGGTGTGTGTGTGAGTATTGGTGGTAGTCTGAGGGGCCGAGGGCATGGCCTTGCTTCTATTAGTCTGTCCTGGGGCAGCTGTGGCTACAGTAGTACCACAGAGTATGGAGTGAATGAATAATGCACTGTAAAACATCTGAGTGTCCAAAAAACACTAGACATCCAATATATTATATTATTGAACTGAATACATCCACAATGTGTTTAATGTGATATTGTGGCTCATTCTGGCACATCAATAACATCACCATGGAGACGAGCAGGTGCCATGTACAGTCAGCCAGAAAATGTACATACTGCACCTTTAAAGTAGTTTGTTAAAGTCTGTGTATCTGTATTGATAAGACTCCACCTTGTGGTCACTCTGCCACTGCGTCCAACAGATCAGTGTGTGGATGCAAAACAACTTTCTCCAGCTAAACTCAGACAAGACTGAAGTCATAGTGTTTGGTCCACACAAACAAAGAGACAGAGTCAGCAGTCACCTCCAGTCTCTCTCTCCAAAACCTTCACAAATCTCAGGGTAATAATGGACTCAGACTTGAACTTTAACAGTCACATCAAATCAAAAATCTGCAGCTTTTTACCATCTAAAAAAAAAAAAAAAATCAAAAGTTTACTGTCTAAATCAGACTTGGAGACACTTATCCATGTGTTTGTCTCCAGTAGGTTAGATACTGTAATGTCCTGCTCACTGGCCTCTCCAAACGAGCTGTGAGACGCTGCAGAACATCCAGAACATCCAGAACATCCAGAACATCCAGAACATCCAGAACATCCAGAACGCTGCAGCTCGGGTCCTGACTCGAATTATGAAGTACGAGCACATGCGTCCTGTGCTCAGGTCTCTGCACTGGCTCCTGTGGCTCAGAGAATAGACTTTAAAGCGGCTCTTTTGTGACATGTTCGTGTCATATGAACCATCTCACACTCTGAGGAGCTCAGGGACCGGCCTCCTGCTGCTGCCCAGAGTCACGACTAAACACGAGGAGTCAGAGTTTCAGGTTCACGCAGATAAAACCTGGAACAGTCTGAACATGTGAGACAGACTCGACTTTGACTCTGTTTAAATCCAGACTCAAAACGGTTCTGTTTAACTGTGCACATGACTGAAAGGTTCTTCTCTCTAATTTATGTCATTAATGTCTCTCTCTCTTCTTAATTTTATGATGATTATTTATGTTTTGATTTGTTTTTATTGTGATTTTTGTGAGGTTCTCCCTGCTCCTCCTACCCCTCCTTTCCCTGCTCCCTCTCTCTGTATCCACTTACCTTGTTTGGCATTTCCTGGGCGGGGCCCAATCATGCACCTGCTGAGCTCCACTCCTGTTCTTCATCAGTAATTATCTCCTACAATAAAAGACCTGCTGACCTGCTCTCCAGTGCCAGATTGTTCCGTCATCCCAGCGGTGAACCACTCAGGCTTTTTTAAGATTTTTTGAGAATTCCCCAGACTTTTTGATGCTTACCTGTTTCTTTTGTACTATCCCCAGCACTTCATTTGGAGCCAGCCTCATCCCGTACCCACCAGTTTCTGTAAGCCTCCGGTCAGCCTCCATCTCCACAGACCTCCCATCTACAGCCAACCCGGACCCGTCCTGCCTCCCCTGGAATCTATCCCCCGCCAAGACTATTTTTGTGTAATAAATACTTTTTTCCCTCTGCATATTTGGGTCCGACCAGTGATTCCCTAACAGATTTTAATGTATTTCTTATTCTGTAAAGCACTTTGAATTACTTTGTGTACGAATTGTGCTCTACAAATAAACTTGCCCTGCTGCTGTTTTTTTTTTCTTTGTTTTTCGCAGTGATATTGAGTTCAGATTTCCTTTGCACCAAAGGCAGACTGACTTCCTTGTCTTTAGATCAAACATGGACCAAATCTTCTCTGGTTTTGTCCCACCTGGCCCCTCCCTGCAGTGGTCCTGGCTCGGTCTCTGTGGGGTCCTTGTTGAGACCTGGTTCAGACCCTGGACTGGTTTTGGTCTGGTTGGTGGGGTAGAGTCTGCTGTAGCGCTGTTTCCACTTCAGTCGCGTCATTGTTTCTTTGTGGATCTGTTCTCTGTAGGAATTCTGGCTTTGAGTGGTCAACAATGAACGCATCTAGAACAGAAAACACACATTGAAACACACACACACACACATACACATACACACACATACACACACACATACACATACACACACACACACACACATACACATACACACATACACATACAGGTGAAGTGTCTCTACGACAGTGTTGTGGAGTAACAGATTACATGTACCAGAGTTATGTAATCAGAGTACAAATTAACTGTATTCAGTTACTGTTTTAGTGAGTGGTAATTGGATTACAGTTGCCTTGTTAAAATAAATGGATTACATGGAGGTATTTTCCTGTTTTCACATTTTGGGCTATATCCCCTTTTTTTTTCTTTTTTCTTTTTTTTCTCAGTAATTCCACTCATTGCTGGAAACTAAACCAAGTCTAAATTAGATCTAAACCAGGTCTAATCCAGGACTAAACCAGGACTAAATCCAGGTCTAAACTAGATCTAAACCAGGTCTAAAACAGGACTAAAACCAGGTCTAAACTAGATCTAAATTAGATCTAAACTAGATCTAAACCAGGTCTAAACTAGATCTAAACTAGATCTAAACCAGGTCTAAAACAGGACTAAATCAGGACAAAACCAGGACTAAACCAGGACTAAAACCAGGATTTAACAGGACTAAATGATGCTGCGTGGACGTGTCTCTTCGTCTTCTATCAATAAAATTTTTAATACAGTTCAGTAAAGTCTGGGCTTTTTTATTTTCTTTTATCAGACAAAACATCTTATGTTACGATATCTTAGTCTTTGCTTCTCTACAGCAAATCAAGTAATCCAAAGTATTCAGATTACGTTACTCGCTTTAAGTAATTTAATGGATTCTGTTACAAACTACATTTTGGGGTATGTAATCTGTAATCTGTAGGGGATTACATTTTAAAAGTCACCTTCCCAACACTGCTCTACGAACACACTAAACTGATCAAATAAGTCCAAACTATTAAAAGGACAAAACATGTCGTTCATTCAAAGCTCCATTCACATATATATTTCTATATTGACATGATCTATACATTACCTTTGCTCTGGGACTGATGCCTTGGACCCAACTGTGCCTGCTCAGGTGTCACTGTAAGTAATATGATTCTCTTTCTACCTCCCTCTCCTCTCTCTCCCTTCTTTCTCACTCTCTCCTATCCCTCCATCAGCCCAGCCCTCTCTCTCTTTCCTGTTCTGCCCCTCCCCTCTCTGAACAACTTTTTATTTCTCTTTCAATCTTTCTGTAATCTTTCTCTCTCTCTGTGTCCCTCCATCTCGCTCCCTCTTCTTTTATTCATTTTCTCTTTGCATTTCTTTCTCTTTATCTCTCGTTGTCTCCTCCTCTCTCTCTCTCTCTCTCCCTTTGTCACCCTACTGCTCTCTTTTTCTCTCTCTTCTCTCCTTTTTCCCTCTTTTACCGCCCCTCCTCTCTCTGTCTCTCTCTTTCTCCCCCTTTCATTTTCCACCCTCTCTTTCTCTTTCTTCTCTCAGGTTAAATTTGATCTGCTGCTGGGGTCTGTTTGCTGTTGTCATGGACACATTCGACACAAATACACCAATGTTTTCTGTTTTTTGTTGTTTTTTTTCAGATCCCATTGACGGGAAACACACTGAGGATCAAGTTTAAATCAAAACTTTTAACTTGAATTTTGTCGATAAAGTTGATTTGATTGATTGATTGATTGATTTTTATTTATGTTATTTATAAGGGAAGCCCCTTGAGATGTAGCATCTCATTTGTGAGGGGGTCCTAATGCATTAACAAAAGCAGCATTTCCAGAAGAGAAAGAAAAACAAATCAAAACAGAACAAAAGACAGACAAAGACGACATTCACACAACACACAGACAGCATTCATACTATACAGTCCAGGATCCTAAGGTATACATACATCTCTCTGATTTGATCATCACCACACTTATATTTGTAAATAAGTGGAAAAAAAAAAAAAAAAAAAAAAGGCAACTCTATGTGTAACAGAAAATACATAGAACAAAAGTGTATTTTTATCAAAAACAGGAGCAGGATGTTTGTAAGTGTCTGAAGACCGAAGCCTTAAAATAGTGGATTGATGTAATTGATCGAATTGAGGAGGGTGAGTTGTTCCATTCATTTGAAGATTTGAAGTGAAATGCTCTTCGGCCAATTTCTTTTTTTATAATAGGAACATTAAAAAATAATTGTTCAGTGTGACGTAAATGATATGCTGATCTAAATGGAATCAAAAACTCTTTTAAATTGGGTGGGAACTTTGAGTAATAACATTTAAACACAAGTTGCAGAAAGTGTCTTCTGGATGTAAGAGAGAGTCAGTTGTGGCTTTGTTGCCTCCATAAAGTCGCACTACGTAACTTTTCGAGCCTTTTGCCTTTCATTTATTCAGTTACATATAAACAAAATTGGTCTCCTCTGCACAGATCTGACTTGTCTCTTGGCCTTGTGGAGTCGTCTGATTGTCTGATACAAAAAATATTATTGATAGAAGACGAGGAGACCCGTCCACGCAGAATGATTTAGTCCTGTTAAATCCTGTTTTAGACCTAGTTTAGACCTTGTTTGAGACCTGGTTTTAGACCTGGTTTTAGTCCTGGTTTAGTCCTGGTTTAGTCCTGGTTTTAGACCTGGTTTTAGTTCTGCTTTAGTCTTGGTTTAGTCCTGGTTTTAGACCTGGTTTAAGTTCTGCTTTAGTCTTGGTTTAGACCTGGTTTAGTCCTGGTTTAGTCCTGGTTTTAGACCTGGTTTAGTTCTGGTTTAGTCCTGGGTTAGTCCTGGTTTTAGACCTGGTTTTAGTTCTGCTTTAGTCTTGGTTTAGTTCTGGTTTTAGACCTGGTTTAGTTCTGGTTTAGTCCTGGTTTTAGACCTGGTTTAAGTTCTGCTTTAGTCTTGGTTTAGACCTGGTTTGGACCTGGTTTAGTCCTGGTTTTAGACCTGGTTTAGTTCTGGTTTAGTCCTGGTTTTAGACCTGGTTTTAGTTCTGCTTTAGTCTTGGTTTAGACCTGGTTTTAGATCTGGTTTTGTTCTGGTTTAGTCCTGGTTTAGTCCTGGTTTAATCCTGGTTTATACCTGGTTTTAGTTCTGCTTTAGTCTTGGTTTAGACCTGTTTAAACTGTAACTGAATACAGTTACTCATAATTTGTACTCTGATTACGTAACTCTGGTACATGTAATCTGTTACTCCCCAACACTGAGTATAGAATAGAAGAAGTGTAGAAAAGTACTACGGTTTTATTTGTTTATTTATCAAATGTACATCCAGTTAGTGTTTCTTGTCACTTAAAATCCCTTTTTCAGAGCAGCACTGACTCAACAGCCTGATACAGATCACACAAACATGGACACACACTCCAGCACAAAAACACATCTCAAAGGAAAAGACAATACAACAGAACATTTGTGCAATTTCTTTTCATGGTGGAAAAAATCTAAATGAAGGCTGATTTAGGCCACGTTTTTACAAAGAGACATTATTTTAAATCATTACTTTGAATACACATCTTTGTCGATATTATTATTCCAAAAGTTGAGTTTGCAAACACAATTCATTCACAAACCTTGATACGATTTTGCCCAACAGCTACGACACCGACACAGATCAGGACGGTTAAAATCATGCAAATATCATTATCACTTAAACCTATTGACAATTTTTGTAATTTTTATTCTTGGCCCAAACCTCAACTGCACATTCTCAGACATCATCATGAAAAATACATCAACAAAACACAAAATAGTGCAGAGGACCATCGGAAAAGCAGCTTCTAGTCGTTTCAAAGGCACTAAACAGAAATTATTCTATCAGTAGTAGAAAAAGCTACAGCGAGAATTCAAAATATTCAACAAAAATATCAATCAGAAATGAGATGATTTTTTTCTTGTTTGACAGCGAGCAGAGTCCACGAGATTAAAATACAGTCACCTTTAGAAATATGGCACCAAATCTGAGCTCTGAATTGTGCAAAAATGATCACAAATTCAGAATAAATTGATGTGTGCTGTGGTTTTGTAGTTTCATTTTGTGGACCCAGTTTCCAGTTACAGATTTCAAATTATTTTCACTTTTAGTCTTACATAAAGTATAAAAAAAATATAGTTATGGACAAAACTCCCACAACTTTCCAGCACATTGTGATAGTTTTGACATTTCAAAATTATTTACACAAGATTTAAAAAAAAAATAAAAAATGAAAGAGTCTACATTCACTTAAGGAATTAATTTTATTTTTTATTTTTTTTCATGGCACTGAGAGTTATTTTATTGCTGAAAAGTTAAGGTTTATAAACTGGAGTGCTAGTTAAAAGTGAATACACCAAGTCAAGAGAAAATGTGGAGGATTGTAGATTTTCAGCATCATTTAAAAGGTGCATTGTGTAACTTTTCACCTGCTTGTTTCTATGGAGATGTCTGGAATGTTCCACAGTGAACACTTCTACCTTACATTTATTCAGTCGCAGTGGTTTTATTGCTCACAAATACCTTGAAAAACACGCAATTTTAGTAGATAACAGAAGAAAACTTAAAAATGAAAAGCCATTAAGACTTAGAAAAACTAATGCATAATGTTTTCTAAAATGGCGATGCTGGTAGATGTTTTTTTTTTTACTTTAACTTGCAATCATGGGCTAGTTTGATCTATATAATACAGACACTATGAAATAAATCCTAAAATACATTAGCGGTAGACATTGCCAGATTTTTAAAGATGCAGCAGACTACAAGTTGGACGTATTCATAGAAATGTAGTATGTTCCAGTTGTGTTTGAATTGGAGATGTTTTTGAAGAGAAGTTTTAAAATGCACTGATGTAGACATTGCCCATTAAAGTATCCATTCTAATGTCAAAAATAAATAGTGTTTCGTTGTGATTGTGGCATTTGGAACAGGGTTTGGGGCAGGGCATTTGGGGCAGCTGGCAAAACTTTACAAAACGTTACAAAGACGAATGGATTTGGAACCGCATCTTGTCTCAGTGGTCAGAGAGAATCAGAGAGATGCAGGCTCTGTTTCGGTAATAAACTAATATGGCGGTTTAAGAGAAAAAAACAAACAAAAAAAACCCCATAAAGGACTGAGAAACAGCGTGGAAATCTGCTGAATCAACAATCGAAGCACCAAACCCTCATTTACCCAAGGCAAAAAAGTGAAATATTTTGTTCTGAATAATACAAGAATTTTGCAGAGGAGAGACCTGATACAAATTAATGGCTGTGATTGGACTGACACAAGTTAAGTTTATCACTGTCACTCCATGGTCCAGTACGGAACAGAATCTAGAAGCTACTGGCTGCTCAGGCAAGGCTTTTAGGGCATTTTTGGGGCATTTTGGAGGCATTTTGGAGGCATTTAGGCGTGTTCAGGGTACGACGACGTGGAAGGGTGACCCGGGCACGTGCTGGTCGCCCCATTTGACCACCAGGGCATATTCTCCTCTCTCCTTCAGGATGTAGCTCACGTTGTACTGCAGTCGCCCCATGTGTTTGACCACCACCTCCTCACAGGGGACATGGGGGCCGTGCACACCCACCAGCAGCATGCTCTTTCCTAAAAACATAACAAAGTAAGTATTAATAGAATAATAGAACTAGAAACTATGCTGAAATACTATTCCAACTGTATTCACTGTATAATCAAGCCAAAAGATAAATATAAGTAGCACGCAAGTAGTCCGGCAACAGCCAAATCACTGTTCCATATCACTGCTCTGTAGCTATCGCCATGACATCACCATAGCAACAGGTCAACAAATGCTCAACTGCTGTGAGAAGAATGTAGTAATTAGCATAATAAAAAAAAAAAAAAACTAAAATAAATAAATAAAAATTTAAAGAAATTAAAGAAAAAAATTCAAGAAAAATAAATAAATAAATAAATAAAAGAAAAATAAAAGAAAAAAATGAATGAATGAAAAAATAAATAAATAAGAAAAAAAAAAAAGAAATATTAATAATAAAAAAATAATATAAATAAAATATAATAATAATAAAAAAAAATTAAACATTGATATAACTGATATTTTGGACATTTACAGACAGGGGACAGACTTTTCACATTCACAAGTGACATTTCAGTTTGTAGCCGTGGTAGAAGCACATTATACAACTTGGAGCTGTGCGTTCTGCTCCTCGCTGTTTAATGCTCACATGTCACTGCGCTGCTGCCATCGCTGCATGACATTGCCATAGCAACACGTAAACACGTCCTCGGCTGCTCTGAATAGAATGTAGAGGCTAGCTGCGATTAAAACACTGAAATAACGATTATTTGAGACATTTACAGACAGTAAACAGGCTTTTCATATTCACAGGTGAGACTTTTCAGTTTGTAGTCGTGGTATAAGCGCATTAAACCACTTGGAGGCGCGTGTTCTGCAGTTTTTACGCACTCCGCTGCTCCGAGCTGTTTAATCTGCTTATACCACAGTCCCACCAACTGAAAACAGATCACTTTTAAATCTGACAACATTTTGGCCATCCACTTATTTCTGTTTAAGTTGAAGCTAGTCCCTCGTAACAGTAGTTCATTTGTTTACCCATTGCTATGGTAATGCTCACAGCACAGTGATATAGAACAGTGATTAAGTTGCCGGATCTAGCTGTGCGGTGATCTGAAAATAATTCACGGCAGTTATAACTTGATGTAATACATTTTTGGAGTTAAAAAAAGCTGCTTTAAGATGAAAAAGAATAAGAAAAGTGACTGCTTGTATAGAAATAATATAAAAGCTGCACTATTTAAGCTGCTGCTCATCTCCATGGTGATTCACAACTCTACAATTTGACATTCAACTATCTCAGTGGAGACAAAAAGAAGACACCACTACACTAGAAGTTATAGATCAAATCTGTGGAAAAAATACTTTGCTTACAGTACGAATGCATTTTTTAATGCCTTTCTGTGAAAGACTTAAAGCAAGACCACAACATCACCATAGAAACCAGCAGGGGCTTACCTTTATTAGAAAAGTTACACAGTGCTTCTTTAAACACATTAAGTAAAAGCAGATGCCATCATAGTAAATAATTCACTCCAAATCACTAATTCAGTTAAATACTGACCAATCCTACAGTACAAGGGAGTAACTTAAAATACAAGTATCTTAAAATGTATTTCCTTCAGGAAAAACAAAGTATATCTATCTATCTAAATTAGTTTATGTTTAATCAAATATCCAAAGGCATCAACTGACCACACAGACACTAAGACCACTATGAAACAGTGTGTTTTCTGACCTGCTTTGCTGCAGTCCACACTGAAGCTGCTCCTCTGTCCCACAAAAGCCTTACTCAGACCTGGCCCTCGGCTCAGGACTTTACTGGCGTCGGCCTCGCTGGTCCAGGAGGGGACGCTGTGGGCAGGGCTGACACTGGAGGAGCGCACAGCCGGGTCCAGCGTCAGTGTAGAAGTCTCACTGGCGTTTGTCACATTCACCAGACGAGGACCTGAGGAGACGATACAGGGTTAAAGGTCATAGTAAAGTGGACACACGGCTACTGCTCTGTACTTTGTTCTACAATTTTATTTTCTTAATGGGTGATACACATCAGATTCGGCAGCGTTGCATACCCATTTTGGCACCCCAAAAAAAAAAAAAAAAGCTGTCAGCTGTTTTATTTCTTTTATACGTCATTTTAGATCATATTGTGATTAAAAATGTCCAAATTACAATGATCCACAGGTGTCATAGATTATAATATAGCAGCCTTCAACTTAGACACAAGTGCTTAAGACGCTATGGTCTAAAAACAATGGACAATAATTTAGACATTCACTTCTTGTATTATTAAAAAATATATTTAGTTAATATACTAACTCAATTCTTAAACGTGAACCATGTAACTTTTTGGTTAGTGGTCCATCACCTACTTGTTTTTATGAATGTCTCATTACTCTGCCTAGAATGTTCCACAGTATTTAACTACTGCTACTTTACATTTAACGTATTTTCTGGGCTATTAGACGCACTCTTAAGCGTCCAACCCCATCAAAAAATGAGTGCACGTCCCACAATCCAGAGCGCCCTATACATGAATCCACTCAAATGTCCCAGCACGACTTCAGTAAACTACAAAGCCGCACCACCCGCAGCGCACGCAAACACACACGGAGCAGACAGCGACCGCACAGCGAAACACACCTGCAGTCACACTCATCACTCCACGCCGACGAGGAACGGAACGGACGGACAAAAACAGAGTGCAATGTGCCACTTCTAGACACAACTGAACAACTGAGTCACTGCGAACACGCCGACAATCCAGCGGTCCCAGACAACACCCTCCCTACACACCACAACTGAACAAAGCCCAGAGTCACCGTGAACGCCACAAACAAAGTCCCACTGACCCATCAAACTGTTGTGTTTCCTTTAAAGTCCAGTATGGTTTATTTGTGAAAAAAGTATTAGACCATTCAATGACAGTGCGTCTAATAATCCAGAGCTCCCAATAGCCCGGAAAATACGGTATTTAATTACAGGTGGTTTTATAGCTTAAAAACACCTAGAAAAACAGGAATACTGACTGTGACCTTTCTACAGATCTGACCTGTAACTAGGTCTGGTTTGGTCTCCATGATGATAGAAAGGTTTAATACCATACTGTGAAATATTCCAGACAAACCGACAACATCTCCATGCATAAAAGCATTTGACGGACCCTCGAATTATTGTGAATAATACGAAAGATTCATAAGTCACCGTTGACTCTGGCGGTGAAGGGGCTGCCCTGGATGTGGTTGGGCCCTCCGTATTTCACACTGATGCAGTAGTTCCCAGGGGCCATGGGCGTGTAGTGCACTCTGTAGCCCTCAGGCAGCTCCACACAGTCCAGCTTGACTTTGGACGGACCCTCGATGCTCACGCTCAGGGCTCCGGGACTGGCTCTGCTGTTGTTTATGGTGAACTCAGACTGTACTCCTGCAGCACAAGACGGAGAGAGCAATTCACCTTATTAACTTGAAAACTACCGCTTCATGACATCACAAGGTGGAACAGAGCATTTTGAGCTTTGGACATGTAGACAGATAATAAACCAGGATTACATAAACATGTGTGAACGAAACAAAACACAACTCTGGGTATATTAAAGCTCTCAAGAATCAATTTTGTGTAATATAGAACCTATAATATACAACATATATTATTGTTTATTATCCCATTTCTGTTGCTGTATTGTGTTGTTATTTTGCAGTTTTTTTTCCTCTATTTGTTATTGTAAAGCACCTTGGGCACGTTAGGTTGTTGCAAATGTGCTGTTTAACAAAACTGATCTTGACTCTTTCTTTTCATTGATAAGAATTAAGCATTAGCATTACTGCCTGTCACTCTGATGGTAGGGAAATTAAACACTGTTGTTGTGTCCACAGGCAAGACACTTCAATCTTGTTGCTTGTATATAAGATGTATTAAAGAGATTATGTGAATATTAAAACCAACAGAATACTTAAAAAAGTGGGAAGAAGTACTATTATACTACTACAAGCCAAGACTCAGCCAAGACTCAGCCAAGACTCAGCCAAGACTCAGCCAAGACTCAGCCAAGACTCAGCCAGGACTCAGCCAGGACTCAGCCAGGACTCAGCCAGGACTCAGCCAGGACTCAGCCAGGACTCAGCCAGGACTCAGCCAGGACTCAGCCAGATCCCGGGTGATGCAGCAGTCTCACCTGTGGTCCCTCTCTCTAGTCCTGCTCCGTAGGCCGTCACTAGGCCCGCCTCTCCGGTCTGTCCAGGCTCGCCCACCCTGACCTTGAAAGGACTTCCTGGGATGTGAGCGCCGTTAAACTTCACGTCAATCGAGTGCACGCCGTTCTCTCGAGGAATGAACCGAATCACGTACTTATCTGAAAGAAGAGGGGAGAAAAGAACCGGGGAAATGTCTGTTATAACTGACGAAAAGGCACACTTTGACCCCTGCACTCCCCTTTCAGATACGGGGTTAACAAATGCAGAAAATATTTTGTACAAGTCTGCAAATATGAGAGAGATCATAATTAGAATTTTGCAGTCCTTCCCATTTATGACACCAACCCAGAGGTGGATTTACATGTTAAGAACAACTGTGCTTAGGAGCAGACTTTGAAGGAACATTTCACCTTCGGATTAATACATTTTTGTGTTAAATGGCAAAGATTAAAACATATGCATTGTTCAGATTCTAGAAATTAATATGAAAAATCCTGTATTTAAAATGATAAACCTAAACGAGGTCCAAACCAGGTCCAAACCCAGTCGAAACCCAGTCAAAACCAGGTCTAAACTAAGTCTAAAGCAGGTCCAAACCCGGTCTAAAGCAGTACCTTTCTCGAGCTCTGTGACCACGCACTCGTCCAGGGCTCCAGACGGACTGTGGACCTGAGCCTCCACCTTCCCCTGGGCTCCGTTCAGACGCACAGCAAACGAGGCCGGATGGTTCACCTTCAAACCAGACTCCTGCAAAAACACAGGGTAAACCAGGACTAAACCAGGACTAAACCAGGGCTAAACCAGGACACCAGGACTACACCAGGACTACACCAGGACTACACCAGGACTACACCAGGGCTGAACCAGGAGGAAACGAGAACAAAACCAGGAATAAACCAGGACAAAACCAGGACGAAACTAGGGCTAAACCAGAACTAAAATAAACCAGAAAAAAAACTAAACCAGGACTAAGAGACTAAACCAGGCTAAACCAGACTAAACCAGCTAAACCAGAACAAAACCAGAATAAAACTAGGGCTAAACCAGGACTAATCCAAGACAAAACCAGAGTTAAACTATGGGCTAAACTAGGACTAAACCAGAGCTAAACCAGGACTAAAACACAACTAAACCATGACTAAACCAGGGCTAAACCAGGATTAAACAAACACTAAAATGAAAGTAAAGCAGGAACGAATCAGGACAAACTGGGGATTGAGTAAAAATACGACAAAACAAAGTTCCTGTTTTACTTACCTGAGCTGTGAATGGTTCATCTGCAGCCAACTATAGAGCACGAACACAGCTTTGGAAAATCTATAGAACTACTACTACTACTACTAAGATTATTACTACTACTACAATTGCCAGATATATTACAGTGGCTTCCAACTAGAAAAATGAGGACTCTCACCCATAACCTTTGTGAATAAATACTAAATGTTTGTTAAAGAGGGGGTATTTTACTTCTATGGGGTATTAACTGATCACAGTGCTACCTTTTGTTTTGAAAATGCTATATTCGACAAAAACAAGGTATTAATATAAATTATAGGTTTCGGTTTTGATGGTCTGCTCCCTGCGTTAAGTCACCCCCCCTTCAGAGAGCTATTATTACTTTACAACCAACGAGCATCCCACTAATGAAACTTGAAATTAAAGTTAATGTGTAGAGTTTTGTATGTGTAATTTGGACAGAATTTTACAGCTAACCATAAGGAGGGTTTGAATAGGGCTGCGGAGAGATCGCTAGATTACTCAAACATGCACGGATGACGTCTAAAACCACTTCAGATATATTTTTTGATGAGGAAACAACCTCGTAATATAGTAGAAAGCTCCAAAAATGTTGCACAATACCCTCCCTTTAAAATACAATCATTCATGAAGCTAGTTGGGAACCACGTACTACAGAAAGGACAGAAAATGTAAACTAAAAACTACGATTGACAAGGAGCTGTGAGGATGCTGGCTGCAGTTGGACCAATCAGAGCGGGAGTGAGTTCTGTTAAAAGTCTTTAAATGAAACACAGAGGGGAGTCTCGAGGACTGGACTGGGTCAGGACAGAGGCACATGGAGAGGGACCACGGCAAAAGTATAATCATCAAATTCTCAAATAAAATGAAAAATTACTAAAGGAACATTTGGAATAAAAGTAAAAAAAAAAAAAAAAAAAAAAAAAAAAGTGGAAGGGAATGTCTATGAATATAAAGCACTTTTTGAGCAAGACCAAACTAGAACTACACAAGGACTAAAGAAAAAAAAATAGTACTACCACGACAACTACCACAATTAATACTACCACTACTACTACGACAACTATCACAACTACCACTATACTGCTACTGCTAATACTACCACAGCAATTACCATGACAACTACTAGTACCACTACTACACTATGACTACTAATACTATTGGTACAGCCACAACAGCTACCACTACTACTACCATGATTACTACTACCGCTAATACTATTAAGACAGCTACCACTACCACACCATGACTACTACCACAACACTACCAGTACTACTACAGTACCTCTACCTCTACTACCACAACTAATACCCTGACTACTACCGCTAACAAAAGTACTGCCATGACTGCTGCTAATACCATGACTACACTATACTATTACCACCATGACTGCTACTACCTCTAATACTACATCAACAACTACTACTACAATTACTACTGCTGCTAATACTACCACCAAAACTACCACTACCACCATAACTAATACCCTGACTACTACCACTAACAAGAGTACTGCCATGACTACTGCTACTGCTAATACTATGACTACGACTACCTCTAATACTACCACAACAACTACTATCACCATCACTACTGCTGCTAATACTACCACGACCACTACCACTACCACAACAACTACCATGACTACTATTCCTACCACAGTCACTACTACGACTACTACCACAACTACTATGGTCCATGTACCATTTGTTCTTTTAATTTCATTTAAGAATGAAAAACAGTAAAAAAAAAACAGTTTGTCGTTTCATTTTGCCGTTTTAGTGTCAAACAAATAAACAGACTTCGACCTCCATTTCCAATATTTAATTTAACATTTATTTCAAATAACCCCAATTTTCAAAGTTTCGGTGTGTATTTTAATTTTGATATTTTATTCTCTCTGGTTTATTTGAAGTTCTGCTGCTTAGCGCACCGCAAGTGAATTCAGTGTCAATCATGGATCTATAATGAAAATGATTTTTATTATAGTTCTATTGTGTCAACTGAACAAAGTATCACTGCTACTGGTTTCTTGTCATGGAGTTCAACAATCACTTTCTAAGATGCGAAAGTAAACGTGTTGCTATAAAAGAGGACATGTTTGTCCACAAAACTGCAGCGATTTTTCAGGGTAGTCCTTCTTGCAGCAGAACTTCCAAGGCAAATAAACCAGAGAGAATAAAATATCAAATTTGAAATAGGCCCAAGAGTTTTTTGATTGGTGTTATTTGAAATAAACTTTTAAAAAAAATACTGGAAATTGAGGTCAAAATTGTTTTTTTGTTTGAGACTAAAACGAAAAAATTAAATAAACTGTTTTCCCATTTTATTGTTTTTTGTTCTTAATTGAAACGTACACGGACCTACTACCACTACTACTTTTTCATTCAAATTCTGATTTCAACAAAACCAAAATTTGACTTTCTAAACCGTTTCCCATGATTTATATTTGCTCCCATATCCAGTCTCCATGCCTCTGTCCTGAGTCCAGGTTTAGTCCAGTCCAAGCCCAAACCGGTCCAGATGAGTCCCCTCTGAGTCTCACCTGAAGGCCGCTAACAGTGAGCCGTCGCGCGTCCGTCACCGGGGCAACCACCGGGACCAGGAAGGGGCTGTCCGGGATGTGCTGCTCGTTAAACTTCACTGAGATCTCATAGTCTCCTGCAAAACGAGAGAAGAATCATTTCAAAGTATTTCCTCAGTTGGGGAAAGAGGTCAGTATTTTTTATCTATTTTATAGCCATTTTAAAAGAAGAAATGATTGTATTTTAAAAAGGGCGCATATTAAGCTACTTTCTAATCTATTATAATGTTGTTCAATCATCAAAGACATACCTGGAGTTGTGTTTTGTTTCATTCACACATGCTCGTAAACCCTGACAAACACAAACCTTAGGCTGAGCTCTTCTCTCAAACAGAAAACACTAAACTTTATCATGTCATGTCGCAATACATAAAGTGTGTTTTTAAACTCCATACACCTTCACTAGAATCAATTGGATAACTTCAGCCCTGGTATTGCCGATCACCACTAAACAAAATGACGTCACAAGGTAGAACGGCGCCTTTGAGTTTTGAAGATGTAGACAGACTAATAAAAAATGATTATTCAAACGTGTGTGAACGAAACAAAACACAACTCCAGGTCTGTTTTTGAGGAGGCGACAAGATTATAACATGGATTAAAGCTCACAAGAGTCAATTTTGTACAATATAGGACCTTTAAAGAGTGGATATTTTACTTCTATGAGGTACTAACGTCTAACAGGTAACATATTTAGATCACCATGTTACCTTTTATTGTTTGAAAAATGCTATATTTGCCGAAAACAACATTTTTTGTAGACACATTTTGTACGTTTCACTTTGGTTTTTGGCGGTCTAAGTCTCCCCTCCCTTTGCTCTCTTTATTAGTTCATTCTCTTATTTATTTATTTATTGCAAGGATTATCTTCTTGCAGTTTTGTTATTGTATCAGTGGCATAAAGTAGTTTCAATATGATCTTTTACCATAGTATATCTCTGCTTCAAAATGTGTTAGTGTGACAGACTTAATTACACTGTCGAGTAATATCCTGTACAATATTTTCACACTATGCATCTCTCGGTACAGTATTCATTGCAATATGTTGTAGAGGCAAAAAAAAAAATTGTGAATATGCAACTTTTTCCTTTAAAAATGCCTTGACAGTCCTTTGGTTCTGTCATAACCCAAGAAATTAAGATTTAAAAATGCTTATAACAGTTATTTCTTCATGTAGTCAACATTAAAACAGAGCAGAGGATCATGGTCTATGTAGTTCCATTTATTTATTTTTTGTTTGTTTTTAATTAATTTAAGCAGAGAGACTTGTAATTTGATATATAGCGATGGCCCATGATAGTATTATGAGACTTTTGACAATACAAAATCGAAATATTGTATTATTGTAAAGCTGATTCCTCATTCCTCCGAAGAAAAAGGAGCTTATTTTCCAACAGGCTCCTACAACTCCACTCAAACAGTGACAGATACAGGACGACATACTATAATACTCCCTACAACTGTACAACAACTCACCCTTATGTAACAGATAATACTCCCTACAGCTGTATGACAACTCACCCTTATGTAACAGATAATACTCCCTACAACTGTACAACAACTCACCCTTATGTAACAGATAATACTCCCTACAACTGTACAAGTCACTCTTATGTAACAGATAATACTCCCTACAACTGGACAACAACTCACCCTTATGGAACAGATAATACTCCCTACAACTGTATGACAACTCACCCTTATTTAACAGATAATACTCCCTACAACTGTACAACAACTCACCCTTATGTAACAGATAATACTCCCTACAACTGTACAACAACTCACCCTTATGTAACAGATAATACTCCCTACAACTGTACAAGTCACTCTTATGTAACAGATAATACTCCCTACAACTGTACAACAACTCACCCTTATTTAACAGATAATACTCCTTACAACTGTAACAACTCACCCTTATGTAACAGATAATACTCCCTACAACTGTATAACAACTCACCCTTACGTAACAGATAATACTCCCTACAACTGTACAACAACTCACCCCTATGTAACAGATAATACTCCCTACAACTGTACAATTTACCCTTATATAAACAGATAACTATGTCCTGTCAGACTTCATACTATCTTAGCACTGTTTTTCTTACGACCTCTTGTATATAACTGTGATATACTGTGTTTATATTAATATATTTCTATTTTTTACTTTACTTGTACATATACATTTATATAATTACACCTTATTGGACAACAGTCTCTTGCCATTATTGCAGCATATTTGGAATATATTACTACCATATATATTTTCCTCTTTGTTATTAACTACGGTGTCCAAATAATTCCACTTAATTAAGTTTGTCTAAGTCTAAGTGATTCAGTATTTAGTCCCATTGTCCCTCAGTTTGTGTGTAGTACCAGGCTCCTGTGCGATGTAGGCCACTCCACATGATCCGTCTTTTCTGTCGTCAAAGGAAATTTCTGCTCGACTGGGACCCTCCACCGCAATGGACAGACCCCCAGCCCCAGCCTCCCGAGTCCAGATACTGAACTCCGCTGCACACACACACACACACACACACACACAGGAAGCCAGGGGGTTGTTATAGAAACATAAATAAAAATGTTTGGTAGTTTTTCATATCATCTTTGCATCTTTGTTTTCTTTTTTTGCATATAGCTGAGATAGATTGTTATTATTGTTAGTTTATTCCTATATTTTATTATACATTTATATAATTATGCCTTATTTGACATCAGTCTCTTGCTATTCTTGCTACTTATTAAGAATTTATTATGACCATTTATATTTTTGCTCTTGTTTTATTTATGCCTATTGGCCTATTTTATGGTTTCATTTGCTAGGTTAAAGTGATAGTATGTAACTTTCTGGAGCTGAACAGTAAACAACATGATTCCGTGTGCAGCACATTGGAAACTGCTTTTGTTTGTCAAATGTACAATAGAAATAAAGTGTACTGGGAGTTGTACCTGGCTCTCCGACCTCCGCCCTCTCCAGCCCGGGGCCCCCCGCCTTCACCTTCTGGGCCCCTCCCTCTCCCAGGGGTCCCACGGTGAATTGGAAGGGGCTCCCCGGCACGTGCACGCCCCTGTACTTCACACTCACAGCATGCACGCCCATTTCCGTGGGAACAAACCGCACACAGTAAGTGTCGTTCCCCACGGCCACGAGCTCAGCTGGTTGGCGAGAGCCAGACGGAGACGTGACCTCTGCGGTGACTTCGTGGATGTCCAGAGCTGGAGAGACAGAAACAGAGAGGAGAGAGAAGGAGGGGGGTATAAGTATTAAAGACATTTATACTGTATTGGTGTGCATAACTTTTGTGGTGGACGGTCTACTTTTTGTTTATCTCCATCAAGATGTTATTGCTTTGCCTTGAATGTTCCACTGTATGGCAGTAAACCTACTGTATTGCTAAGAAATACTTTCTGCTTCACAATTTCATCATTTAATTGCAAATATTACATTAAAAAAAATTATCCAAAGAAAAAAATGCACCAATGAGAGGCAAAAGGTGAAAGACATACACAAATCCACTGCTGATTTGTACCTACACCAACATAAAGATTTTGCACCAACATAAAGGTCATCAAAACAAAGTCAGATCTGTAGAGACGTGAGCTTACAGAGGAATAGCAATAAAGCACATACGTTTAATGCCATATTGTGTAACTTTCAAGGCAAAGCAATATATCCATGAAGACAAATGAAAGAGCCTGAATGTAATGGAAGAAATAGAATATATACAAAAGCAATGGTTAAAAAGGGCTTAAGCAAGATTCATGTTTTTAATAAAAAGGTCACTGTGTTGCCCCCTAGTGGGCTAAAAATAAGATTGCGTTATTAAATTGCTTACTTGCAGCCCTAAAACTTTTATTTCCTCACTTTATCTGATCAAATTTTAGAGAATAACAAATATACAACAAATTATAAAACAAAACTGAACAAAAGTGCAGGTATTAGCATGAAATGAGGCGAACCTTGTGTTGCCAAATCACAGGGCCCTATCACACACCCTTGGCCCCAGAATCAAGCACCCACACAGCCCGTGACACTTTGACTGCCCGGTCCACCACCACCACACCGCCGCCAGCGAGGCCAGAGACAAGGCGAGCGTGCCCAGGAGAGAGGCACCGTGTCTGGGCAGGAGGAGAGCCGGCAGACCTCGGAGAGTCTGGAGCTCCGGAGATACGCATAGAGCAAGAGGAGCGGTAGAGAAAACGACAGAAAGAAGAGGAGAGGACCAACAGGAACCAGCTGACTGAGGAGAGGAGACAAGGAGGCAAGGAAGATGGAGGCAAGGAGAAAAGGAAAGAAGGAAGAAAAGATGTAAAAACAGGTTGAAAAGTAATAAGATAGTAGTTTGAGATAGTAAATCCTGGTTTAAACCCAAGTTTTAACCTGGAATATTGCATGTTTGATCATAGTTTAGTCCTGGTTTTGATCAGGTTCCAGGGAAGGTTTAGCCCTGATTTGATGTTTCTTTAGTCCTAGTTTAAGACTGTTCAGACTTGTTTCCTTGTTCTGGATTCAACCCAGAGTTTGTTTAGTCCCGGCTTAGTCCCGGCTTAGTCCCGGCTTAGTCCCGGCTTAGTCCCGGCTTAGTCCCGGCTTAGTCCCGGCTTAGTCCCGGCTTAGTCCCGGCTTAGTCCCGGCTTAGTCCCGGCTTAGTCCCGGCTTAGACCCGGCTTAGACCCGGCTTAGACCCGGCTTAGACCCGGCTTAGACCCGGCTTAGACCCGGCTTAGACCCGGCTTAGACCTGGCTCAGACCAAGTTCAGACCTGGTTCAGTCATCTGTTAGTCTTGGTACAGTCCTGGTACAGTCCTGGTACAGTCCTGGTACAGTCCTGGTTCAAAGTCATCTTAGTCCTAGTTTATAACCGGTTCAGCCCCCGGTTCACCTGGGATCTTGATGCTGAGGTCGCACACAGAGCCCACAGATGCCACAGAGGCGGCTCTTTGTTTCCGGCTGATGCTCTCTTTGATACGGCCCTCTCCGACCACTCGCACTGTGAACGGGCTCCCTGCAAAAACAAGGAAAAATATTAAAATGCACTGGTCACTTATAAACAATAAAACCTGCTCATAATTCTACTGTTTATTCACCCGTCATAATGATAGTTTTCAGATTCTACAATGTGATAATGCAGGAGCCACTTTTCCCTGTAGAATACATTGTACTTTCATGACTATATCTAATGTGCGTGGAATTTAAAAACACAGTGGAGCACTTCCTGTATTACCACATGACATCACAAGGTGGAACAGAGTGTTTTCTGTTGGAGAGAAGAACCTAAATATGCAGGGTGTGTGTGTTAAAACAAAACACAACTCCAGGTCTGCTTGGGATGAGGAAACAAGATTACAACACAACTGTTCTGTCTGTACCTGGGACGTGCTGGTCGGCGAAGCGTATGGACACGATGTAGTTTCCAGGTTCAGTGGGACAGTAAGACACCTCACAGGTCCCGTCCTCCATGTCCTCAGTCTGAATGTCCACTTTACTGGGACCCTCCACAGACAGAGCCAGACCCCCATAACCTGTCCACATACAGAGAGGAGGTATTCATATAAAGAACTACAGGCTGCTCCTCTAACGCCAAGACCACTGATATTCCTGACACAGCAGCTCTTTTGACCCTCTCCTGTGATGGAACTGTTCAAATTAGATTTTTTTTCTTCAGATAACAATGCTCAGTAGTCTTGGGTTAGGGTTGGTATGAGCTGAGTTTGAACTGTTCTAGTTCTGGTTCTGGTCTACTTCAGGTGAACTTTCGGGATTTTAGATTAAATCAGATCAACATTTCTGGTGGGAGATCCTGTGCTTCTTTCAATGGGAATACAACAGCTTTGCCTGAAATGTGGCACTGAACTCCTTTATCTTGCAGGTGTATTATTCCAATACCATCTTAAAAGCACATACTGTTAGTGTTATTACAGATCTGACTGGATCTGGTGTGTAACTTGTAGCATGGCAATGCCATACAGTGAAACATTAATTAATGAACTCCACACAGACCTGCCTCCCTGGTGTCCACGATGAAGCTGCAGTTGTTGAAGGTGGTCCCCTGTTTGAGTCCGTCTCCGTGGACGACAACTCGGCTGGCGTCTCCAATCTCAGACTGGACCACCCTGATGCTGATGGGGCTGTTGGCCACGTGCACCCCGTTCTTCAGAATACTCACCAGGTGCTCACCCACCTCCCTCGGGATGAACGAGATGCCTACAACCAGAGAAGGTTGGAAGAGGTTGTGTTAGTAAAAATATTTAGTCTAGACAGTTCAGAATTTGAATCATTACCATTTAACACAAAAAAAAATCTGAACTCCAAAGCACATGCTTTTACTGACAGAGAATCAGGACTGAACTGGACTCAAACCAGAAGCAAATCAGGACCAGTGTGAACCAACTGTGCATCTTGATTTAAAGTCACAATGTAACTTTTTGGTTGGTTGTCAGTCACTTGCTTGTTTCTATGAATATGTCATTAAACAGCTCTACCTTACATTTATTCAGTTACAGGTGGTTTTATAGCTCAAAAATACCTTGAAAAACAGACATTTTGACTGTGAGCGTTCTGAATGTTGAACCTGGTATTTTCAATTACCGACTAAGCCCTAGAACTCACTGTATTACTAATCTTAACTATTTTATCTTATTAATATTGTCCTATAGAATGCTGGGATGTCATCTGAAACCCACCAGTCCTGTGCATTGTGGGTTGTTTGCGTGCGTGTTACCGATGTGGTTGTTGGGCATCCTCTTGAGCAGGCAGGGCTCATCTCGGCCTGATGGAGACTTGATGCTGGCCGTGAGTAAACTCAGGTCTGTCTCGTTTATGTCCAAAGAGAAATCCGCAGCAGAACCCAGCTTCACCTGAGAGCGGCGCTGGCTGTCCTCTACAACACCGGAAAATACAGAAACACACAAACGTATTAATTAAGAGCAGTGTTTCCCAACCAGGGGTGAGGGGACCACAGAGTTTGCACGAGCCATTACCAGGGCACACTTGGGATGATTTCAGATTTTAAAGTTGGAATTGAGAAGTATTTGAATCTAAAATGTTCTTAGCGATATATTTTACTGGTTTAAAGGTGCACTGTGTAACTTTTCTGGTGGAGGGTCCGGCAACTGCTTGTTTCCATGGAGATGTCTTTGCTTTGTTTGGAATTTTCTACAGTGCAGCATTAAAGGGATACATTTCCAAAGAAACAAGGCCAAGTTACAGGTCTGATCTGTGGAGAGGTGACTAAATTGACAATGAGAATGCATGTTTTTTACAGGTATTTTTGAGCCATAAATGTAATTAACTTAACGTAAGACATACGTTTTATGGCATACTGTGGAATATTTCAGGCAAAGCAGTAACATCTCCATGGAGACAATTAAGTGGCAGACCTTTTACCTGAAAAGTCGCACCTTTACTTACGTTTTTGTAGGATAATCTTGACATAAATATAATTAAAACAAAAAATAGAACAGTTGTCTATAATAGTATACAATGTAGAGTGTGAGACAACGCAAGACATAAAAAAAAAAGCTGGGACCCACTGCGTTAACTAAAACAAATTTTGTATTCAACACTGACAAAACCCCAAAGTATCTCTGACCTATGATCCTGGCGGTGAAGGGGCTGCCCGCGATGTGCTGCTCGTTGTACTTGACCAGGATGTTGTAGTCTCCGGGCAGAGTGGGCAGGTAGCTCACGCTGCAGGTGCCGTCTTTGTTATCCACACAGCTGATCTCCGCTTTGGACGGGCCCTCGATCGCCAAGTCCAGGCCTCCTGAAGATAAACACAGAGAAGTTAAACACAAAGAAGATAAATGCAGATGCAGAAGATAAAGACGAAGAGGAGAAGTTGGAACGTAATCTTCAATATCGTCTATATCAGGTAAAGAACAACTAGTGGTACTAATCCAGAAATCCTCCACTTTTATTTTAAAGGTCCTATATTACACGAGATTGACTCTTTTGACCTTTAAGCCATTTTATAATGTTATTACCTTATCAAGAAAGTATCAGGAATTGTGCTTTGTTTCATTCACACATGATTAAGTAAATGCTTTATTATTAGTCTGTCTACAGCTCCTAAGCCCCAGATACTTGGTTCCACCTTGTGATGTCATGTAGTGATAGTTTTCAAGTTAACAGCTTCATTTTAATTTTATTCAGTAGAGATGGGCAATTCCAGAACTGAAACGATCTAAATGATTCTAGTGAAGGTGTATGGAGTTTAAAAACACAGTAGATGCAGGGTTTGTGTGTTTTAAACATGTGTAAATGAAACAAAACACAACTCCAGGTCTGTTTGTGATGAGAATCAAGGTAACAGATCAGAAAATAGCATAACACACTGAGTTTGAGATGAGCATTTGGATCCATTTAGCAACTTCACCGCTGTTATAGCTCTGTTTTAATTTGTTTTTAAATTTTGCCATGACTGTGCCGAGGCCCACTGACAGAAATTCGGGGGCCTGGGGTAGAATGTCTCACTTGGGGTCACCCTCTAATATAAGTCAGTCCCTTCTACGTTCTGTTCAAATCCAGAAGGGACTGAAGCCAGAACATAGAGCGTGAAAAACCTGTCCAAATTTTAGACAATCCAACCACAGCCACAAATTTGCATCACGTGTCTCTCAAATGCAGAAGACGTCTCCTCTTAATCCACCTGTCACACAATCACACCCTCTGAAATCAGGGAGACAGGACACGGCTCCAGATCCTCTCGTCTTCGTAAAGTTTTTTTCTAAGCTTGTGGTTCTGGCTGGACACAGATAATCTGCTCCCCTGATTGTGCCGGTCTTGTACCCAGAAGTGACATCACAACAACTCCATCTTTGGTTGTCGTTACCTTCGGAGGCGTCCTCGGTGTAGACGGTGAAGTTGGCGGGTTTGTTAGCGACGCCGTAGCTCAGTCCGGGGCCGTAGGCTGTGACTGAGGGAGAGCTGCTGTGGTTCACGTAGAACTGAAGAGGAGACTCTGCACAGGGAGCAATGTGGAAGAGCTTAGATTAGAATTATTTATTGCCATTTTAATTTGATTTATACAGGACTTTAAAAGGTGCACTATGAGGCCCATCACAATCATTACTGTATCAAGTGGATAAAAGCAGTAGCATCAGTAGTAGTAGTAGTATTAGTAGTAACACCTGGTATATGTGTCCCGTTGTACTTGATGTGCATCTCGTGGAGGCCGGCCTCAGTGGGGGAGTACTGCACTGTGACTGTTCCGTCCAGATTATCAGAGATCAGGGGCTGAGCGCTTTTACCGGAAGGCATCAGAACCTCTCCTGGAAACAAGATAGAAAAAACTCTCACAATCATTTACAGTTAAATGTACTCAACAATCCAAAAAATACTAAACTAATAGAAATGATCATGAGATTTATTTATTTATTTTTTTTATGGAGTCAATTGTGTGAAACAGAATGCTAGAATTAAACATTCATACACGAGACAAGCAAAAGATGACTAAGTGAACAAAAGTTTTGGGATGAATACGTTTCAGTCATCCAAGAAGCATTTCTGTCTGGATCCAGGCTTACACAGTATCTGTCTGAAGGGAGGAGCTAAGTCACCCTGAAACTAAAACACTCCAGTCATTTACAGCTGGCTATGTTGTTTGTTAAAGCAGACCTATTATGCAAAATCAAATTTTCAGAGCTTTTAACCCTGTTTTCTTTCACTATTTACTCACAAAGTTGTATTTGGAGTGATTCATAAATGTTTGAGCAATCTTGAATTACTTATTTTCAAGACTTACTTTGTTCTCCAATTTTATTTTCCTTATCGGTGAGATGCATAGGATGTAGCAGGGTTATCATTTTGTTACAAAAAAAAAAAAAATCTGCTGCTCCCTGGCCTGGTCTGCAGCTATCCAGAGGTACAGATGGAGTTTACACTCACGTCAGCTAATGTGGGGGTCAGTGGACTTGTGTTTGTTATGAAGTTTTAGATGAATATTGAGATTTAAAATGTGGAAAATATAACATAATGATCCACGGGTGTCAAAGATTATAACTGTACAGCAAACACAGATAGGGCTGCTTTAAGTTAACCAACTAATTCCATTTTTGACAGGGATTACGCAGACTTAGACTACATGAATCCATTGTCCTCCAGCATGATGTTACGATAAGTATGGGCTAAATATACTGTAGCAAGAACAGATCAGGACTATCCAAGTCACTGACCTGTGATCTCTCCCTTCCTGAAGGAGAAGGGAATGACCATATCGAAAGGTCTGAACCCACTTCCGTTCATGCTGCTCCTCATTGGATCGTAGCCTTCTGACGTCACCTAGGACACGAGGGAACAAGGAAACAAGGGAACAAGGGCGGAATGGAGGAAGGAAGGAAGAAAAATAAGCACAGTTAAAATAGTAATTGATATGTGATTTTCTTTTAGTCCCCAGTAGGTTTGTTAGAATCATGCTGCTGTCTCCAAGCCTCCTGAAGGAAAGGAAAAAACGAAATAAAGCAGTTATTGAGTGGGCTGCATAAAACTGGGAATAAGTCTAGTTCTTATAGTGATCTATTGTTTAACGCTATGTAACTTTTCTGGCGGAGGGGAAGGGTGGGGGGGTTATGCTGCCTAGTTGCATTCACCTCACACAAAGCCCAAAAACATAAAAAAATGGACAAATGCGGCATGTGTAAAGGTAGTAAAAAACAATAAAGCTTGGCAAAAAATCACCTTGACAAAAACGGCTGCTTGCGGGAGTGAGACTACAGTATGGCAGTGTGGGTCCAGTGTGTTGTGAATAATTTTATAGGTTTACCCACAATGCAAAAGGTGCTGGACAAAAAGGTAGGTGTGCATTAATAATTGACAGTAGTGAACTTTACGCAGCGACGGAGATAAGAGAGAATTCAAGAGGAGACTTAAGACTTAAGACCTTGGGTGGAGTATACATAAAATGTACTCCAAAGGTACTGGGTTATTTGAAAATATAACAATTCAAGAAAAGGGTGTAGTCTAAATAATTACTTAATGTAACATTGACAAAAATTTAACATGGTAGTTGTCAAACCTTTCACACAAGGTACCACATAAGAATATGAGTTCTTCTGAGTACCAACAGATCAAAACCAGGATTATTCCAGGTCTAAACTAGGCCAAAACGAGGTCTAAAATAGGAATACACCAGGTATGTGTAAACAATACACTTGTCTGTCAAAAAGAAACTTTATTTGGATATTTGGAAAAGGAATACACTGTAGTTATATTAGTTGTAAACCATTCTTGACCAAAATTGTGGCTTAAATTGTCTATATATTCAACAACTACTTGATATCCAAAAGAATCTGCATACCACCTAAAGAAGTTTGGGTACCAGTTTGAGAAACCACACAGTCTCTAAAGCCAGTAATAAATTCTCGTGTATATAAAATTTGTACTCAAGTAACTATTAGGGATGTAAAAATAAATGAAATATCGTGATATTGTATCATTAAAAGTCTAACAATAATATCATGGGCCATCATAGTATATCAAATTACAAGTCTCTTTGCTTAAATTCATTGTTTTGGTGCAGCAACGACTAAAAAATTGTGAGAAGCACATAGACCATGATCCCTGCTCTGTTTCAGTCCAATCTACAAGCTGAAATAACTATTATGAAGCACTTAAAAATCGTAATTTTTTTTTATTTTTGGATAACAAGAGAAAAGTTGCGCACTCCCAATTTTGTATTATTATTTTTTGCCTTCACAAAATATCACAATAAATATCGTACCGTGAGATGGATCGAGAGATTTGGATATTGTTACACCCCTAGTGACGATTGTTGTTCAAAAAAAGGAAAGAGTATGACAAACTACAGACAACATGGCTGCCACACTGATCTATGTCCTTTTGACAGGATAAGGACACAGTGGCTCCATAGAACGGATGAGACGCCACATCAAAGGAGAATAAGTTGAAATTCATACTGCTCTAGCACTAGGGGGAAGGGGAGCAACGTCTCCATGGAGAAAAGTATTTGATGGGGTCTCCACCAGAAAAGTTACACAATGCACCTTTAATATGCAGCCTTAAAGAATCAAAAGAGACAGAGAGCAGAGCTGAGCCAAGCAATGAGAAAATGCATGAATCCTTGTTAAACACAGCTCATGATGAGGTTAGATGTATGCTGCGATCCCATTGGCTGAGACAAACAGGAAGTAATGATGTTTGCTGCGATCCCATTGGCTGAGGAAGCAATGATGTCATGACGAGAAGCAAAAAGAGGAACCAGTGCCATTAACCGTCAGCAGCTATGTTCAGCGTAACACAATTTTTAAAATTCTAAATGTGTTCAAACTATGTCCTGTTTGTAAAGATGTACTGTAGCGCCACCTGGAGTCTGATCAACTCATGACAGTGCTCAAATTCAACCCCCTCCCAAAAAAATAAAAATAAAAATATGCCCCCTTCAGAGTGTTAGGACATTACAATGTACATGTAATTTGATAATGAAACTGCTGTAAATTGCATCAGGTTTGTGAAGTTGTAGTGGATTGTTTTTGTATGGACTTTGGACTTGGAAATTGCCACGTTGGAGCCTGGGGGACGTCGGCTTGTGGGCTGAGCCTCGTACAGGATCGTACTGCTAAACAGAAGGAGAGTCAAATATGGTCCAAAGGGGATTGCTAGATTATTAAAACATGCATGGATGGGTATATTTTTGATGCGGGAACACCATTATAACATGGTAGAAAGCTTCACAAAGTGGGTTTTGTATAATATCATCTCATTAATTTTAAATTCTGAACTTACCATCTGTATTCCACTAATTATTATTATTTCCCCAAGTAATTAGTAATGAGTTTTTAAGCACTTTTCACAATTTTGTAAACCTCTTTGTAAACAGGACATAGTTTGATGTAGCTGTAATAGAGCAGCTTGTATAGGTCTCCTGGTGTACGCTGTTTTTGTATGTGTGGTTATCATGTATATGTGTGTTTGTGTGTTTCTCTTTGTGTGTGAATGTAACAGTATATTAATGTTGTATTGAGGTCTGTAGTTGTACCCAGGGTTGTTTAGGTCTCTTGGTGTATGTTTGTGTATGCATGTGTGTGTGCGTGTGAATGTAACATTATATTGCTGTTGTATTGAGGTCTGTAGTTGTACCCAGGGCTGAAAGCCGGCTCCAGGGGGAGCGGACTTAGCAGATGACTGCTGCTGCTGCGTCACAGGACCCTCCTCAGTCGCCTGAAGATACAACACAAAAGTTACGTAAGATCTGAAAGACTTTAGTTTGTCCATGATGAATCGTCTGCTCCATCTGAACCTCTCCAAATAGATTCTTGCATTCTTTCACTACATTTATAAATCTTCTCTTTGGTCTCACATTTAACATGAACTGTCCCTGTGATGCATTGTTTCTTTTACGGTGTTACATCTCATCATGCACCTTTCCACTGGCAGTGGAAAATATGTCAACAAATATTTCAATATATTTTTACATTCTCATAATAAGCAGATCCTATTTTTACAAACCATCAGAAAAAAGCAAAAACAAATGTGAATGTAAACGTCTTGGTTGAGGTTCAAGTATTGCACAATAAGTGAATGGCCTACAACATTAAAAGTCCTATATCACAGAAAATTGAGTCTTGTGAGCGTTAAGCCATGTTAGAATGTTGTTACCTCATTAGAAACAGACCTGAAGTTGTGTTTTGTTTCATTCACATGTTGAGTAATCCTTCAGTCTGTCTACATCTCCAAAGATTAAAACGCTCTGCTCCACCTTATGATGTCACGGTGGTAGTTTTCACCTATCTTTTATTGTTAGTAGAGATAAGAAATTCCAGGACTGAAATTATTCAATGACTGATGATCTAGTGAAGGTTTATTAAGTTGAAAAACACAGTGGAGCACTTTCTGTATTACCACATGAGTGTTTTCCGTTTAAGAAAAGAACTCAGCCTAAATATGCAGGGTTTGTGTTAAATTTGTGTGAATGAAACAAAACACAACTCCGGGTCTGTTTTTGATGAGGAAACAACATTATAACATAGATCTGAAAGTAGATTAATATGGGCCCTTTAGACTAGTTTGAAACGTTGCACTGCAAGTTTTACATTTCTGTCATCTCAAATTTTTGCCAGTTTTTGATTTTGATTCTATATTATATTATATTCTAATAGACTTCTGCTTTGTACAGTATAACTTCAGACCCACCATGACTTTGAAGGGGCTGTGGGGGATGTTCTCTCCTCCGAAGCGCACATAGATGACGTAGTTGCCGGGTGCAGGGGCGGTGTAGAAGATGTCAAAGGTGCCGTCCTGGTTCTCGATGACCTCTGCCTCTACCTCCGTGCCATCGGGCTGCACCACCACACAGCTCACCTTCCCTTTGCCCGCTCCAGACGCATTCACGGACAGACCCAGCTCCTCCCCTATGGCCACTGTGGGGCCCACACCTGAGCCTGGGAAAACAGGACGGGACGGGAGGGGAAGTAAATGAAAATTCATTGTTTCCCTTTTTGTAATTGTCCCAGAGACTCATCCACAACCCCCCTCTCAAACTCACTTGTTCAAAACTGCCTATACATCTATATAATTATGCCTGATTTGACACCAATAGCTTGATATTTTTACCTACCTATTTTTATTTACTTATTTAGAACTTATCATTATATTTTATATTTTTTTTTTATTTTTTGTTTTGTTTTTTATATATTATATTATGATGTGTGAGCTTCTGTGTCCATATAATTTCCCTTGTGGATCAATAAAGTTTGTCTAAGTCTAAGAGACTCATTAAGACTAAAAACCCTCTTAGACAAACTTTATTGATCCACAAGGGAAATTACTTGGACACAGTAGCTCATAAGACACAAAATAATATAATAACAAAGAGAAAAAATATAAACGTTGATAATAAATTCTAAAGAAGTAGCCGAAATAGCAGAGAAATAATTATATAAATGTATATGTACAAGTAATGATTGACAGGACATAGGGTTATCTGTTCCATAAGGGTGAGTTGTTATACAGTTGTAGGGAGTATTATCTGTTCCATAAGGGTGAGTTGTTATACAGTTGTAGGGAGTATTATCTGTTCCATAAGGGTGAGTTGTTATACAGTTGTAGGGAGTATTATCTGTTACATAAGGGTGAGTTGTTATACAGTTGTAGGGAGTATTATCTGTTCCATAAGGGTGAGTTGTTATACAGTTGTAGGGAGTATTATCTGTTACATAAAGGTGAGTTGTTACAGTTGTAGGGAGTATTATCTGTTATAAGGGTGAGTTGTTACAGTTGTAGGGAGTATTATCTGTTACATAAAGGTGAGTTGTTTACAGTTGTAGGGAGTATTATCTGTTATATAAGGGTGAGTTGTTATACAGTTGTAGGGAGTATTATCTGTTACATAAAGGTGAGTTGTTGTACAGTTGTAGGGAGTATTATCTGTTATATAAGGGTGAGTTGTTATACAGTTGTAGGGAGTATTATCTGTTACATAAAGGTGAGTTGTTGTACAGTTGTAGGGAGTATTATCTGTTATATAAGGGTGAGTTGTTATACAGTTGTAGGGAGTATTATCTGTTACATAAGGTGAGTTGTTGTACAGTTGTAGGGAGTATTATCTGTTATATAAGGGTGAGTTGTTATACAGTTGTAGGGAGTATTATCTGTTAAATAAGGGTGAGTTGTTGTACAGTTGTAGGGAGTATTATCTGTTACATAAGGGTGAGTTGTTGTACAGTTGTAGGGAGTATTATCTGTTACATAAAGGTGAGTTGTTGTACAGTTGTAGGGAGTATTATAGTATGAATGTAGTCCTGTATCTCTCAGTGTTTGAGCGGAGTCTAACTCTATATCTATGTCTATATTGTGCGTGATGCATTCAGGTGTTGTGCGTTCCTGTGCATTTTCCCGTGGTGCGTTCAGGAGCCAGTACCTGTGACGGTGCAGCGGCTGGCGTCCCCGGTGGCCGTGGCCCTGACGCGGTGAGGGGACCCAGGGATGGCGTCTCCTCCGTAGGTCACAGAGATGGTGTAACGGCCCGTGCGATCGGGGGTGTAGGAAACCGTGTACGTGCCATCGCCGTTGTCATGGATACTGGCCGGCTTTGATCGCCCATCCTGGTCCTGGAGAGAGGAGGACGGGCCAAAACAGAACAAGTCTTAAAGGGCCCATATTGTGCCATTTTCTGATCTATGTTATTATTTTTTTTATTCACACGTTTAACACACAAACCCTGCATATTTTGGCTGTGTTCTTCTCTCTAATAGAAAACATGCTGTTCCACCTTGTGATGTCATGTGATAATAGAGGAAGTGTACTACTGTGTTCTTAAACTCCACACACATTCACTAGAATCATTTGGATAATTTGAGTCCTGGAATTCCCATTTGCTACTAAACAAAATGTAAAAAGGAGCTGTTAACTTGAAAAATATCGCTTCATGACATCACAAGGTAGACAGACTAATAATGTGGGGTTCCTCCAACTTGTGTGAATGAAACAAAACACAACTCCAGATATGTTTTTGGGGAGGTAACAAAGTTCTAACATGGCTAAAAGCTCCCAAGAGTTAATTTTTTAGTGATATTGGACTTTTAAAAATCTTTTTATATTTGAAAAAACAGACAAAAAAAAAAGAAAAGAAATGGACTGTTAGTTTTAATGTGTATGACTGTCTGGAGGGAGATTGATTTCAGTTTTATCTTGAAATAGACAAAGTTTAAAGTATTTCTAAAAGGTGCACTGTGAAACCTTTCTGGTGAAGGGTCAGCTACTTGCTTGTGTCCATGATGTTATTTCTTTGCCTGGAATGTTCCACAGTAGAGTTCCACAGTAGCTCAAAAAAGCTATTAAAAATCGTGCATTCTTATCATGTGCAGGTTTGCTTCCCCATAGATTTGACCATTAATCTGCCTCCAATGTAATAAAGAACTTGAATTCCATACTGTGGAATAATTGTTCACTGATCAGAAGGGTGACAGTTTGAATCCAGCTCTTGACATAAACATCACTGGTTAAGCAGTCAGATCCACCGACCTACTGGTTGGTGGAGCGATTCCAGCTCTCACAGATGAATGCTGTCGTTGTGTCCTTGGGCAAGACACTTAACCCACCTAGCCCCTAGGGTCTGCGTACTCTGGTGTATGAATGAGTGTGTGTGAATGGGTGAGAGGCTCCTTGATGTGAAGCACTTTGAGTCCCATCAAGGTGGAAAAGCGCTTTATTAAAAATGTGACAATTTACCATCTCCATGGGGACAAGCAGATGGCAGACCCTCCACTAGAAAAGTTACACAGTGAACTTTTAATTGTTGTAACTGACCGTGATGAGCACACTGAGCTGGCCCTCTCCTGCGTCTCTGGCGTCGATGTTGAACTCCACAGGGAAACTGGCCGGGATCCCGCTGGTCAGACCTGGACCGCTCACCCGGACTTTACTGGCATCGTGAGTCGGCAAAACGCGCACCTTAAATGGACTGGACACGAGAGAAACAGGAAGTCAGACATGGTTTTGACACTGCACCTGCCCTGTATTCATACTATACAGTGATGCCATGCTGGAGGTGTTCTGCATGTGAAAAAGTTTTAAGATGATAGAGATAGACAGCACAAATCAGCTCAGCTGTTGTAGTTCCAACTAAGTCAGCTTTTTCTGGTCAGATTGTGTTAAAACAAAGCTCAAATTAAAGTTTCACTTGAGTAACAGAGCTTCAGACAGAGCAGAGTCTACAGCTAACATCACACTGCCAGGGAATGTTGAAGAGATCAGCTGCAAAGTATCAGTTCTGTTCTGTTACTGTTGTGGATCTTGTTTGTGATTCTAATGTGAAGTTGTCTGAATACTCATTAATGGAACAAAACATAACTCCAGGTATATTTTTATGAAATAATAACATTCTAACATAGCTTAAATCTCACAAGAGTCAATTACACATAATATACGGCTTTTAAACAATACTTCAGACTGACCTGCGGGGGGCGTCCTGCTGGTTGAACTTGACTCCCACAGTGTAGAGTCCTTCAGTGGAGGGCGTGTACTTCACAGTCTGGGTCCCGTCCGGATTCTCAGACACCTGCACCTCCTCAGCCACACCTTTGGGCCCCTTCACACTCACAGCTAGCTCCGCCTCCCCTGCCCTCCTGGAGTCCACAGTGAAGGACTGTGGGATACAGGCCCTTACACCTGAACCCACACCCGGCCCAGATATCTTCACTTTACTAGGATCCACCACATCTTTCACAGGGACTTTGAACGGACTTCCTACAAAATAAAAAAGTTCAAATGTAATTCAGGTCATCAGTACTTTAGTGAATTCACTATCCCTCTGGTGTATTCACTCGGCTTCCTTAGTACCAAAAACTAAAACCCCACCACATTATTTTTAAAAACATTTTTGGTTTATAATTTGTCTTTTTTCCATTTTGAGTGTTTTGGTTGAACTGAAAAAACATCCATACATACTCTGACTGGGTTTGCATCTCCACAAACAACTTCTCTACAGCAGGTGGAGGGCTCCTCTTACTCATCTCCATGAAAATATTGTAAATTTAGCTATGATCTTCCACAGTGTGACATAAAATTTATCTATCTCCATGGAGAAAATTCCAAAGTATGGTTTTACCTTTCTTTTTACATGGAATCATGCAGGTGTTGCTTTAACTATTCCTCCTCTGTACGTGTTCAAAACCATCTCAGTCTGGAAACTATATCCACAAAATATTGAACACGAGTTTTGATTTCCCCAATTCTATATGTTCTAATTACCAAGTGCAACTTGAACGTTTACAATCTTCTGTCTTTTATTTTTCTTCTGTCACATTTTGATGGTTGATCAATAAAAAATATTCATTATGGCATATATATTATTGGTTTAATGAACACAAGTCAAGGCTCTAACCCGGTATGTGCTCTCCTCCGTAGGTGATGTTGACGTCGTAGACTCCAGGACTGAAGGGGGTGTACTCCACACTGCAGCTGCCATCTTTGTTGTCTTTACAGGACATTTTAGACTCAGAGGGACCCTCCACTGTGATGCCCAGGCCTCCGATACCTGCCCCCCTGTGGACAAAGAGAGAAAGTAGGCAACTGTTATTTATCCTTCAAATCACTACAGAGCTGTTTTGTATGAATAAAAGTTCAAAGCTTATGAGGCATTCTAGTCCAAAATCAGCCTTTAAATAGTCTTATCACATCCAATGAAATGTCAAACCAGAATATCAGCTTAACCAATCCAACTAATGTTTCAGTATCTGCGCAGATATTTGTAATCAGTGTCAGTGCATCCCTAGAGCTGCTGTTACTATGTGATGTTAGTAAACTAGTTTTTATGTATGAATGTGATTGTGTGATTGGATGTTAAAAAGACAGACATGAGTGACAGTAAAGTATTATGTAAACACACCAGTGAGACATTTTAATCAGAATTTCATCTTTCATGACAAATACCTAGTGATGATATCAAAGTGGTTGGTCTGATCGGTCAGACCCTGCTCCAGACCCGGTCCAGAGGCCAGGACTCGAGTTGGATCACAGCCCTCGGACACAGAGACCCTGAACGGACTATTGGGGACCGCCGTGTCATCGTACAACACGTCAACACTGTGCACGCCTGGGGAAACAGGAAGTGACATCTTCAGCCACAATAACGCTTTTCAGAGTCGGTAAAAACAGATTGTGTCATGGCAAGGCTTTATGGGATGCTCCTTTAGACAGACAAACACTAAAGCAAAGCGGTACGTCCCATCGTTTCTATTGCTGACGTGTAGATTTACCGTTCTCGAATGGCGTGTACTCGACGCTGTAGGTGCCGTCCTTGTTGTCCGTGACCACGGTCTCTGTCTGAGCGCCGGACGGGTTCCTGACTTCAGCGGTCACATGATCTCCTCCTCGCCGACTCAGGGGCCGCGCATCCACCGTGAAGGACGTGGTGGCCTCTCTGTACACAGCTGCAACACACAGGAGCTGTTATCATGCTGGAGATTAACCCGAAGAAAATGGTTATAAATGATTTGACATTATTATTTAAAAAAGAAAATAAAATACTAAATCTATCTTGTATTTATTCATTTACAGGTGTTTTTATTTCTCTAAACTACAGCAAAGACATGCATTCTTACTGCGAACGAGCCCGCTTCTCCACAGATCTGACCCGTAACTTGACCTAGTGATGTGGCCTGCGTGTCTCCATGGAGATAGTTACGGTAAATGCCACACACATTCCAGGAAAAAACAATAACATCTATATGGAGTCGAGTAGGTTTCGAATCCTCTACCAGAAAATTAAACAGAGCTCTTTTAAAGGTGCACTATGTAACTTTTTGGTTGGGGGGGTCTGTCACCTGCTTGTTTCTATGGATATGTCATCATTCTACCTTGAATGTTCCACAGTATGACATTAAACAGCTCTACTTTACATTTATTAAATTATAGCTGGTTTTATAGCTCAAAAATACCGTCATTCATTCTGACTGTGAGCAGGGTCGCTTCTCCACAGATCTGACCTGTTACTTGGTCTGGTTTGATCCCCATGATGTTAGAAAAGTTTAATACCATACTGTGAAACATTCCAGACAAAGCAATAACATCTCCGTGGCGCAAAGCATTTGATAGAGCCTCCATCAGAAAAGTTACACAATGCACCTTTAAAGAGGAGGTACTACACTTCCATGGGGTATTTTTTTTTTTTAACACATAACATATTTAGATTTATATGTTACCTTTTATTGCCCTAATGCTATTTTAGTTGAAAACAATGTATTAAATGTATTATTACTTCCTGGCCCTGTTGAGGTGTTTGATTTTCAGCAAAAATGGTGAGCAACATGCGACTGTAATTTTATGTGTGACAGATTTGTAATGTGTTGTAATTCCAGCTAAATCAGTTCTTTCTGGTCAGACTGTGTTATAACGAAGCTCAGATTCAAGCCTCAGACAGAGCAGTGCCTACAGTTGGCATCACAAGTATCAAAACACTACAGTTAAACACATGTGTACCTGTTCCATCGACGCCGGGCCCAAATGTCTTGATTTTAGACGTATCCACGGCAGGATCAACAGAGACTTTGGCAGGAAACCCAGGGACCGTCTGCCCCCCGTATTTGAGCTTCAGAGTGTAGAGTCCAGCAGTGAGAGGCACATAGGTAACGGTGTATGTCCCATCCAGATTATCCACCACCTCGGTCTTCACTTTGCCACCTGGAAACAGGGGAGGGGACTTAGGTTTAGATGAAGCATTTATTTTTACGCAAAATTGACTCTTGTGAGCTTTAAGCCATGTTGTAATGTTGTTACTTCATCAGAAACCTTACTGGAGTTGAGCTTTGCCATCTTTTACTTTTGCTCTGTAAATATAGGCAATTCCAGGGCTGAACTTATCCATATGATTCTAGTGAGGGTGTATGGAGTTTAAAAACACAGTGGAGCAGTTCCTGTATCACCAAATGCTATCGCAAGGTGGAAAACAGGGCCTCAGTATGCAGGGTCTGTATGTTAAACATGTGTGAATGAAACAAAACACAACTCCAAGGATATTTTCGATGAGGAAACAACATTATAAGATCAGAAAATAGCACATTTTAATAATTTATTATTTAGCAAATCTTAAAGGGGTTGTAAAATAGCCACACCAACATAACACCTCCATGGAAACAAGCACATAGTAAATCTTTAAAGACACCACAACATCCAGCAATCTACGCGTTTGATCAAAAGAGAACAAGTGCGTAACAGAGAAATCATGATGAACAGGAGACAAATCCCATAAAGTAAACTAGATTCTTCAAAGTTGCACTACGTAACATTTCTGGTTGATGATCAGTCACTTGCCTGTATGGTAAGAATGCATTCCAGGGAAAAGCAATAGCATCTCCATGGAGACAAGCAGGTTGAAGGCATCCCACCAGAAAAGTTACATAGTGAACCTTTAAGTCAACTTTAAGAAAAGAAAAAAATATTATTTTCTGACCTGCTCCTTTTGCTGCAGACGAAGGATCTGGTTCCACCTCCAGAATCAGCTGACCCGGTCCAGCTTTGGAGCAGTCCACGTTCACCACGCTCACCTCTCCCGCCTGCACAGACGCCATTTAAAATCACCTTTATTATTACGTGTTCTTGGTAGACTGGAGCAGTTATATTTACAAGTTCTGCTGTTTTATTAAATGTAAAAATCTGAAAAGTACACATATTAGTTTAAACATTATAAATACTTAAAATAAATTAAAATACTTAAAATAATTAAAATCGATCACTATTCAAATAAATACATATTTTAGCCATATTTTATTTTATTTTAGATTTTTTTCTTGATTTTATTTACTGAAATTTATTTAATTTTCCCTACATTTTTATTGTTTTCTATTATATTTTTGGCATTTTTTTATTCTCATATATATAGATTTATAAATAAAATCTTGCAATGCATTTCAGTGCTCTCTCAGGCTCCAGGAACCATATTCTGCATATGACATGTGCAATAAGGTTTCTCTTAAAGGCGAACTGTGCAGCTTTTGTGGAGGGAGTCCACAACCTGTTAGTCTCCATGGAGGTGTTAATGGTTTGTTCCACAGTATGGCATTAAACTAATCTGTTTTGCATTTATTCAACTACAGGTGTTATTTATTGCTAAAAAATATATTGTAAATGTAAAACCTGTAATTTGGCTTGCAAGTCTCCATGAAGATTCATGAGTTTATGGACATACTGTGGAACATTCAAGGCTCATCTCCATGGAGACAAGCAGGTGACGGACCCTCTACCAGACAAATTACACAGTGCACCTTTAATGTATAAGGTTAGTATCCAAGGATCAGGCTGCAAATATTCAAAGCTGAACTGTCTGCCCCTCTCACCTTGGCCCTCTTCAGCCCTGTCCCTGAGGCCTCGACTTTGGACGGGTCAAAGGGTCTCTGCACTTGCGCGGAGAAGGGCGACCCGGGCACGTGCACGCCCTCAAACAGGATGTTGACCAGGTACTCTCCAGGCTCTGTGGGCAGGTAGGACACAGAGCAGGTGCCGTCCCCGTTGTCTGAGCACTCGATGTTGGCTTCGGTTGGACCCTCTACCGTCAGCCCCAGAGCTCCAGTCCCAGCAGCGTTTGTGTCGATGGAGAAATGAGCAGGAGAGCCCACCTAGCCCCCCCTTCAGGCCAGGACCAGACGCCTTCACCTGCACAAAGAAAAATATTTAGAGGGTGAAATAAACTTAATCCTACTTCTTCACTATTTTAAAAGTCTGCTTGTCTCCATGGAAATGTTATTGCTTTGCCAAGAAAATTCCACATATTTCATGCCTGTTAATGAATACTGTGGAACCTTTAATGAACACACCTTTAACATTTCAAGATCATAGACTGTGTAAAGAATTGGACTAAAGGAGTGTGACATCACCGATAGTGTCTGACTCCAGTCAAATGAAGCTCACCAAGGCTTCCAGTTATGGGCTGAATTTGTTGCCGAGTTCCATATCAGGAATAATAAGTGATTAACAAAATGGAAGAATAAAAACACCAGGATCACGTAGAGCGGGTTAATATGAACATTTTAAGACCAAGACAAGGAGCCTGACAACAGCAGTTACAGAGAGGAGTGATGTTTTATTAAATACAAAGTGAATTGGAGTCGATGGAGCCATAAAAGTGTCCATGCTCACTTCCTATTTGGAACACGGTGGCTAGCAGGTTAGCTATGTCCATTTACATATACAGTCTATAGCTAAGATTAAAGGCGGCTCATCTACAGCTACTACAGAAATGTGTGTATTTTTTTCCTGCATTTGTTTGTTCTATCTAATTACTTTCTGTGTTGGGAGAAAAGTGTGCTCACCTTGCTGGGGTCTGGGGGCAGCTGGGCCTCCATGGGGAAGGGGCTGCCTGGGACGGGGTGTCCGTCGTAGGTCACGTTCACGGCGTAGAGACCCTCCTCTCTGGGAGTGACCCGGACCTTGTAGAGGTCTGCAGAGACTGGCTCCAAACGGCACGGCTTTGTTTTCTGACTCGGGCTCATCTGAGGACAGATATACCACCTTAAATAAACCAGAACTAAACCAGGTCTAAACCAGGTCTAAACCAGGTCTAAACCAGGTCTAAACCAGGACTACACCAGGACTACACCAGGACTACACCAGGACTACACCAGGACTACACCAGGTCTACACCAGGTCTACACCAGGTCTACACCAGGTCTACACCAGGTCAGACTTTGAAAACTACAATCAATAGACAGGACTCACCAGCGCTACCTCCAGCTGACCTTGTCCTCCTGCACCTTTAGTGTCAATGGTGAACTCCTGCTCCTCACCCACCTCCACTCCTACAACAAAACAACATAAGATTAAGATTTAAAATTTCATAAACATGACACTATCTGCGTCCCCAGATACGAGGTATACAAGTTTAAATAAAATATTCTCCAGAACAATTGTAATGCCGATTTATCCATAATTACATAAACATTGGCCAAGTTGTTGAACCTGAACTGTTGTGCTCCGTCTTGTGAATTGCAAACCCTGAAGAAAGAGCCTAAAGCTGACAGACGCGTGTGTCCAGTCCATGTACTCACGTCCGCTGAGGTTGTCCACGGTGACTCTGCTCAGGTCCAGAGGAGCAGCCACGCCCACAGTGAAGGGGCTTCTGGAGATGGGGTCTCCTCCAAACGTCACGTCCACTGACATCTCTCCCTGAACACACAACACATGACGACAAGAGGTTAAACGAAACATATTAATGAAGAGCAAGCACAATGTTAAAGCATGTATGTACACTTACATATTTATTTAAAGCTAATACTAATTGCAGTTTTTCCAGTATTGTGATTTGTGATGTATGGCTTAAAAATAGGATTCAGTTCACATTGTACAGTGTAAACAACAACAGGAGCATCCAACATTTGAAAGAAGACTAAATATGAAAGATTTTTGAAAGATTTTCCCATTAAAAAAAAAACAAAAAACACATTCTACAATCAAAGTAATTGGCGCCGATTTGCGATTCCGATTTGCTAATTCTGTCAACTAAAACTGAGATGTTGATTCAATTTCAATACATTGTGCAGTTCTAAAATACCGGTATTGTTACATTATCAGCGTCCACGCACTGACCTGGTTGACTGGAGTGTACTTGACGGTCTGGGAGTAGTCGTAGTTGTCGATGATCTCAAAGTCTTTGACTGGAGCAGAGAAGGCCACGTCCAGAGGAGCTTTGCCCGCTCCTTTAGTCACAACAGTGAAGTGAGTCGGCTTCCCACTCTCCACTCCTGACCAGCAGGGGGCACAACACAGACACATGAGCCTTCAAATATATACTAAAATATTAAATGTATCAAATAAACCAACAGTAGTCAAATGTAAGAGGGTAAAAAAAAAACAAAAAAGTCCTGAATTTATATAGCGCCTTTCAAAAAAACTTAAAATGATGCATACACTCCACACACTGTGCTAAGATGATAATGTGGCCATGGTTGCCCTGGGGCAGACTGAAGAGAAGAGAGGCTGTTAAAGTGTTAAAGTAGAGATGGACCAATCTGAGTTTTTTCATGTCTGATGCAGATTTTTTGACAGATATGTTGGCCAATTTAGATTATTTTCCACAGATTATATCATTTAAATTTTCTGCAAACTCCCTCACAGTCCTGTTTTAGTTCAGACTAGAAAAGAGAGCTGTGTAGTCAGATTTTGTGCAGTGTTCTCCCTGCACATAAGTGTTCAAAAAAAAGCACCATGCATATTTTTCAGGACAAAAGCTGGACCAAACCAGATATCAACCTCTTAAAGACACACAGAAAGACCTTGTGAAGACAAGATGCTTTGTTTTTATTATATTACGAAAAAAAAAAGCTTAACTGAATTTTATTATAACCCAGATTTCAGTAATAATCTTTAGTAAACTCACCTGTTCGAGAAATTCCAGGTCCTTCAGCTTTGACCCTCGATGCATCATGGGAAGGATCCACTTTGACGTTGAACGGGCTCTGAGGCACTTCCTGTTAGAAAAGTAAAATTCGAATTATAAAAAAGGCAATTTTCTTTCTCTAACAAAATTGCATACACTTTTCTAGAGCTGAGCCAGGAGAAAAAGCACAAATCTACCACGATACTTTATTTTGCGTGATATAATTTTAAGGTCCTATATTATACAAAGTTTTCTCTTGAGTGTTTTAAGACCTGTTATAATGTCCCTTTATTATTAGTCTGTCTACATCTCTAAAGCTCAAAATGCCCTGTTCCACCTTGTGATGTCATGAAGCAGTAGTTATCAAGATAACAACTACCTTTTACTGTTAGTTCAGCAGAGATTGGCAATTCCAAGGCTGAAATTATCCAGGTGATTCTAATGAAGGTGTATGGAGTTTAAAAACACATAAGAGCACTTCTTGTACATGACATCACAAGGTGGAAGAGTGGAGTGTTTGAATCTAAGAGAAGAACACAGCCTAAATATGCAGTTTTTGTGTGTTAAATGTGTGAATGAAACAAAACACAAAAACACAAACCGGGTCCGTTTGTGATGAGGAAACAACGTTACAACATAGATCAAAAATAGAGTAAATGTTATCAGTTTTTTAATTTCCCCAGTTCAAAAAAGTCACCAAAATGTAGGAGCTGGCTGCTGGAGAATATGCGGCAGCTCGGAGGCCAATCATTATCATCTATTGTGGGCATGCCCAAAAATCATACCTTTCTGGAAAGAGCTCCATCAATGTTTATAAAATATTTTGGTTTCAATGTTCCTTTTGACTTCATATATATGTACTTAGGTCGGGAAATCCCAAATGTCACTACGGTAGCAGACAAATACCTATTAAGAATTATTTTATTATCAGCAAAGAAAACAATGACAAGAAAATGGCTTCAAACTGAGGTACCAGTAATGCAAGATTTGTACAATACTGTTTATGAAATATTTCAGATTTAAAGACTTACAATGTCACTGAGACTTCAAAAGGAAAAATTGCATGTGTTTTGTGGATCCAATATATCAGTTTTGAGACCCGATTTTGTGTGAATTTGTTGTCTAACAGAAAGGAAGTAAGGAGAGGAGACAAGGTTTAAAAAAAAAAAAAAAAAAAAAAAAAAAATTCACTTGTCCTTTTGTTTTTGGTTCTTTTGTGTATTTGTTAACTCCTGTGTTTTTATTTAAGAAGGGAGGAGGGGGAAAAAAAAGTAATGTCAAGTAACATAGATTGTGTTTGTACAAAAAGTGCTCTATTTTTCTATTTTGTGCTTTCAATGTAATTGACTTGTACAAATCCATTAATAAAAATAATAATAATTTTAAAAAAGAAAATAGCGTAATATGGGTCCTTTAAATAAACCATAAACAGTCTTCTAATACATTGTCATACCTTGTCTGTAAACAGGACTTTGACAGTGAGGCGTCCGGCTGCAGGGGGGACATATTTCACTGTGAAGGTGTCATTTGCGTTTGGGATAATATCAAAATCCACATCAGCTTCTTTATCTCCCACCATGTTGGCGTCACATTTAATCCCCACACTCACATCACCTGAAAAATACAAAAAATATAGATATTTATTAATGTCAATCATTAATCATTGACTGTCCCTCCTGCTCTGTACCATATATTAACTATATATTAAACTTTCTTAATCTGGACACTAGGGGGAGCTCTAATGCCCTGCTCGCTTTACTTCCTGATGTATTCATGTTCTGTCTGCAGACTTGATCTTTTGAGAATAGCCCGCTTAAAAAAGCTTTTCATAAATCTCTTCTTATTATGATTTGTTATAGATTAGAGTAATGACCCTGGATATACTGTGAGAACTTTTGCCAAAAAGTTGTGCCAAATTATTTCAGTTTTCACTCTAATTCTCTGGTCTCCTGTGAAGTAATTTCTTGTACACTATCAATCAAATGTTTGGACACACCTTTACATTTATGGTTCCTCTTTATTTCTGTGATTATTTACACTGTTGATTCTGAAAACTATGAATGGACAGATATGGAATATAGTGAAAAATAAATAAATTAATTAAATAAAATAACTCCAAAATTGTTTTAGATTTAAAAAAATGTATAAATAAATTGCCGCCCTTTGCTTCTCTTGACCCTGAGAAGGCACATACTTTGAAGATTTGAACATAAAAAGATATACTGTCTATTATCTATTAGGGATGTAACAATAACCGGAATATCGTGATATTGTATTGTCAAAAGTGTCACAATAATATCGTGGGCTCTCACACTATATCGAATTACAAGTCTCTTTGCTTAAATACATGATTTTATAATAATAGTAACAGCTTAGAAACATCAGAAACTACATATCCCATGATTCATTTCAGTGCAACAAACATGAAAAGACGTTTTTTACTTGAATTCTTGGGATTATGACGGCAATAATTCACACCAAAATGTTGCCAAGGTATTTTAAGAGCAAATAAAAGTTTCCTATCTACAATTACATTAGCCTCTCCAAAATATCGCAATAAATATCGTACCATGAGATGCATATCGTGATAATATTGTACCGAGAGATTTGGGTATTGTTACATCCCTATTATCTATTCTATCTATTCTGTCTATTCTATTTATATATAAAATGTTAAAAGTGACAAACTTCAAGGTGCACTGTCTGCCCGTCACCTTCTTGTCACCATGACGATTTTATTACTTTACCTTAAATATTCCAGTGTATGGCATTAATCAAATTATGTCTCCATAGAGGCAAGCAGGAGATGCCGCACGGACAATTTACAAGTCATGTCTGTGGAGAATTGGCCTCGCTCTCAACGGAAAGTATGTTTTTAAAGATATGTTTGACCCATGATAAAAGGAGTGCATGTTAGATAAGTTTAATATCACACATGGAAACTCTCCAGACAGCGCAATAACATCTTTATGGTAGCGGACCCCACCCTCCCCCAGAAAAGTTACACAGTGCACCTTTATGATGATATCTCCAACTTGACTAGTAATGTCTGAAAAGAACACTTTTAACCATGGCGGAAAGTATCAAAGGATTTCTCACATAAACTCCTCTTTTATTTGTTTTATTGTGGCACCGTTCCATAATTCTTATCTCAACTCGTTACGCCTCACTCAAACCGAAACCTTGTGTTACGTCATGTGTCAATCATTACAAGAATCTGGACCTCAACAAGAATGTGACCAAAACCAGGTCAAACACACCTCCCATTGTCATTGACACAGAAACAGCACTGACATATGCACAATAACCAAGTAGTAATATATGACCAGCTCTGTTTAAATGTCCTTCAAGGAGCTCTTTAGTCCTGGTTTATCTAGACCTCAGTTTTATTATACTGTAGAACTCATGTAAATAAACCTGGATTAGTCTTGGTTTAGTTCTCTGTTTAGTCCCCCATTTAATCCCCAGTTTAGTCCCCATTTAGTCCTCCATTTAGTCTTTGTTTATTCCTCCGTTTAGTCTTTGTTTAGTCCTAGTTTAGCCCCGGTTTAGTCCCCTGGCTTTTGAGCTGGAGATGCAAGTTTGTTTACAGCTGTCCTCCATGACCTGAGTGCTGTCAAGTTTCTACACAGACAACATGTGCAGCACCCCCTACCTCTTATGATCTGAAGTGTGCCCTAGTATTTGTTTAAGTTCATTCACCTTCACCTGACTCAGGCCATATATTATTTCAGAGCTCAAATTCAGAAAACAAATCAGAACTGTCACTGTGTTACATTTTCAGAGTGAAAGCAGCATGCATCAGTTAAAGGCCCTGTATTTTTTTTTTCTATGTAGTCGCCCCAGTACAGATATATTGTATAAGCAGCTGTTCAACAAGTTGTTAGAATTACTGTGACAGAAAAGAGGGTAGTGAAAAGCGATCATAAACTCATCGTGGTTAATAATTCAGATGCTTTGAATGCATAAGGTTAATAAGGTAATAAAAATCAGGTACAGCCCCTTTAAGTAATTAACCCACAAGTCTGCATTATATTGTATTATTATATTAAACTTGATCAAACTCAAGGTGCACCATCGTCTATTTTACAAATCATACAAAGCATGTTTCACAGCAAACTATGAAACATGATTACACAGGAATTTTGATGCAAGGATCCCAACTGACTATGACGATAAATATGTGAATATTTAAATTACTGATTAATTCAATTAATCAATGAATTATATTTAAAGCACCTTTCAAGATACCAAAGTGCTTTACAGTTGATTATTCATTCACTCAACAGTGGTAAGCTACTATTATAGCCACAGCTGCCCTGGGGCAGACTGACAGAAATGAGGCAGCCAATCTGCATCATTGGCCCCTCTGACCACCACCATCACTCACGCATACACCACTTTCATACTAGGCAAAGTGGGTGAAGTGTCTTGCCTAAGGACATAACAACAGTTTTTACCACTGGCGCCCCCCTGTGGCACTTGGAATTCTCAGTGTTCGCCCATCTAAGTACTAACCAGGTCCAGGTCAGGCCTGTGCTTAGCTTCTGAGATCTGACAAGATCGGGCTTTGACGAGCCAGTATGACTTGATGTTTTCTTGCTTAAAGGTGCATCGTGTAACTTTACTGGTGGAGGGTTTTCTCCATGGAGATGTTATTCCTTTGTCTGGAATGTTTCACAGTATGGTATTAAACCTTTCCATCTTCATGGAGATAAAACCAGACCAAGTTGTAGGTCAGAGACAATCCCACTCATATTCAGAATGCCTGTTTTTCTAGGTCTTTCTGAGCTAAAACCACCTGTAATTGAATAAATGTAGGGTAAAGCTGTTTAATATCATACTGTGGAACATTCCAGGCAGAGCAATGATATACATAGAAAAAGGTGACGGACTCCCAACCAAAAAGTTACATAGTGCAACTGCAGAGATATCAAACCCTTCACTATTCTACTCAAGCACAGCCTCACCGTCCCCGGCACCGGAGCAGTCCACAGTGAAGTGGGTGGGCTCGTTGGCCTTGAGTCCGGTGCGCTCCACTCCAGGCCCAGACACGCGCACGTTGTTCGGATGGCTCCCTTTGCCCACAGACACCTGCAAACAGCAAACATTTAGGCGCCATTAATACTTTCAAACATGTTCTTACAATAAACAAATTACCTTTCACAGCAACTACATGGATCAAAATCTTCACGCTGCAATTTCAAAAAGTGGTTCACAAGAAAACATCCATTTACACTAAAACCAGAGTGTCTACGGGGTCCAACTTTGAATTAACAATTAAAATATTCCCAATTACGTCAAGTATTTCAAAGCTACTGTACGTTATGAATGAAATTAACATACAAATTAAACATGGGGTTCCACAAGGTTCAGTCCCCAAACCATCAATCTTTATTTTCAGTAAAGTGCTGGAATCTACTCATAACATCACAAAACTATGGCCTATTACTCTTTCAATTCTTTCACTGATATTACACGAGCTGCCCTTTTAATTTGAATTTTAAAGCACAGTTTTACAAAGTTATGAAGGAACAGTAGTAGAGCCATTGTAAAGTTTCTTCCATGTTTTGGTAAAAGTTTACATTTTTAGTTCAAGGAGTCAACACAAAAAGGGAAACTACACAATGCATTTAAAAATGAAAAATCTGAATTTATTAAAAAATCGTTGAAATCATCAGGTTAACACTGGTGAGGTGATTAGTACGATTCAAAATCAAAAGTTGTTAATACATTACATAGAAAAAGTGTAATATATGACCAGATCTGTTTTAATGACCTCCAAGGAGCTCTGAAGTCCTGGTTTATCAAGACCTCAGTTTTATTATAGAACTAATGTAAATAGACCTGACTGAGTCCTGACTGAGTCCTGACTGAGTCCTGACTGAGTCCTGACTGAGTCCTGACTGAGTCCTGACTGAGTCCTGACTTAGACCTGAATGAGTCCTGACTTAGACCTGACTTAGACCTGACTTAGACCTGACTTAGACCTGACTTAGACCTGACTTAGACCTGACTGAGACCTGACTGAGTCCTGACTGAGTCCTGACTGCATCCTAACTTAGACCTGACTGCAACCTGACTGCAACCTGACTGTGTTCTAACCGAGTCCGGATTGAGACCGGATTGAGACCGGATTGAGACCGGATTGAGACCTGACTTAGTCCTGACTTAGTCCTGACTTAGTCCTGACTTAGTCCTGACTTAGTCCTGACTTAGACCTGACTTAGACCTGACTTAGACCTGACTTAGACCTGACTTAGACCTGACTTAGACCTGACTTAGACCTGACTTAGACCCCATTTATCCCTATCTTTTAAACTAAAAGTCTAGCACAGTTGCAGGTTTGTTTACAGCTGTCTTCCATGATATTAGTGCTGCCCAACGAAACAGGTCCTGAGTCGGGTGTGACTTTGGCAAACAGGAAGATTCACCAGACTTACAACAACTATCTGAACGAGACACAAATGGAGATAAACCACACGGGAACAACATTATATTTGAGATTACGAAACTCTAAATTCACAACACAACTCTTTCCTAACAATTCACAAGATGTTTCACAATTTGGTGCAGCATTTCACGCTACCACATTCTGAAGCGTTACATATTGCTGAAGAAAATATAGATGACAAACTATAAAACAAACTAATTTATGCCACTGACACGATAACTTTCAAGCAGGATAATCCCCCAAAATCAAATTCTAAATGTGTAAAATTGTTAAGAAAAACATGAGTTGCAACAAAGAAGAATGAAGCTGGATCTATAATCAGTAGGGCTGTGCAAAAATACTGAAATATCGATATATCGTATCGTTTAATGTGATGATACAGTGTCAATATTGGGGACTGCCGTATTGATATATCACCAAGAGTATTTTTTGGTGTATTTTAATAAATTATTTTGTTACAACTTACAGTTTTGTTGTTTGTTTATAGGAAGGAAACTCGTTCACATTGCAAAAAATTATATCTAGGGTAGAATGGCTTAAATTAAGAACATGACTTCATTTGAGTAGATTCTACCAAAGTCTTTTTCTTAATTCAAGCAACATTCGATTTCAATTCTTATTTTAAGGACAAAGAGTTGTTGTTTTTCTTATTTTAAGTGTAGCAAGTGTATTTTCAAGTACAAAAACTCTCATTTCGCTGATAGGTAATTATACTTGTCAAGTGAAATTTCCTCAAATCATGATAAAACTTTAATTCAATCTTAACTTGGCTAGATTTTTTTTTTTTTTTTTTTTTTGTGGTGCATGCGACACATTTCACATATTCACTGTTTAAATGATTAAAATGGGTGTGTTTCATATTCACTCTGCACAAGAAGACTTTTAGCAACACAGCAATGATTTAGCCTTTATTTTTATGTAACCGTATCCAATCGAAAGCTCACTGTATCGAGGTATGTATCGTATCGGCAACTTCTTAATGATACTCTAATAATCGGTCATATAAGTTAGAAGCTGTAAGATGTTTGACCTTCAATTGCTGTATGGTACTGCAAAAAAAAAAAAAAAGTACACACAATACAACTAGAGCCCCAAAATTGTTGTATTGTTTCATTTTATACATCCTGAAAGATAAGTATAATTATTGTAACGGGCCTATGTATAATACTTTACTAATGACCAAGCTAATACTCGCACACACAACACAGGTAAGCGGGTGGACATGTCTTGCCCATTGACACAAGGACAGTATGCATTGCCAGTCAGTGTTGGGGAGTAACAGATTACATGTACCAGAGTTACGTAATCAGAGTACAAATTATGAATAACTGTATTCAGTTACAGTTACTGTTTCAGTGAGTAGTACTTGGATTACAGTTACTTGGTTGAAATAAATGGATTACACTGCGGTATTTTCCTGTTTTCATATTTTGGGCTATATCCCCTTTTTTTTTTTTTTTTTCGTAATTCCACACATTGCCGGACACTAAACCAAGTCTAAACCAGGTCTAAACCAGGTCTAAACCAGGTCTAAACCAGGTCTAAACCAGGTCTAAACCAGGTCCAAACCCGGTCTAAACCCAGTCTAAACCCGGTCTAAACCCAGGTTCAAACCAGATCTAAACCAGGTCTAAACCCAGGTCCAAACCAGGTCTAAACCCAGTCTAAACCCAGGTCTAAACCAGGTCTAAAACCAGGTCTAAACTAGGTCTCAAACAGGATTTAACAGGACTAAACCATGCTGCGCGGACCATGTCTCCTCTTCTATCAATAATATTTTTAATTTGTTGAAGTAAAGTCAGGGCTTTTTATTTTCTTTTAGCAAACAAAACATCTTATGTGAAGATATTCTAGTCTTTGCTTCTCTACAGCAAATCAAGTAATCCAAAGTATTCAGATTACGTTACTCACTTTAAGTAATTTAATGGATTACGTTACAAACTACATTTTGGTGTGTGTAATCTATAGGGGAATACATTTTAAAAGTAACCTTCCCAACACTGTTGCCAGTATACGGAATTGAAAACCTAATCTGTAAGGTTTTACTACGCCTTGCTTTGACAGTTTGCATGACAAAACCTGACACCTACATCTGGGTATATCAAGTCCCTCATTTGAACAAACTGGCACCACTAAACAAATTTGAATGGTCCTATATTACACAAAATTGACTCGTGAGCTTTAATCCGTGTTAGAATGTTACCTTGAGTTGTGTTTTGTTTATCTTACACGTTTGACTAACCTTTTATTATTAGTCTGCCTACATTTCCAGAGCTCAAAATGCTCTGTTCAACCTTGTGATGTTACAGTGACATTTAAGATTTACTTCAGTAGAAATCAGCAATTCCAGGGCTGAAATTATCCAAATTAGTGGAGTGAAGCTGTATGGAGTTTAAATGCACAGTGGAGCACTTGCTGTATTACCACGCGACATCACAAGCTTGGACAGAGCGTTTAAAGTTTCAGAGAAAAACTAAAAATGCAGGGTTTGTGTGTTAAACATGTTTGAGTGAAACAAAACACAACTCCAGGTATGTCTGTGATGAGGAAACAAGAAGACAAAGCTGCTAAATCATGCTATTTTCTGATCTATAAAATGTGTAGTGCCATGCCGAAATTGTCTAAAATGCAAGAGACAGGATACAAAGTAAAATATAAACACAGAGAAGTCATGCAAACTCCACGCAGAGTCTAACCTCACTGAAAAACAGATACATGAAGCAATCTAACCCAGAACCTCAACATAAAAGGGGCAAGGACACAGGCTCACCACTCTGCCAACAATACCATGTGATGATAAAGTTCACTTGAGGTGTTCCCCATCTCATATAAGGGTGCATGGGTTCACGCTGCTTTGCCAGGATCCAGAAGTGGGCTTGTCTGTTGACTTTCTCACATTACCTTATCCTCAAGGAGTGGCTAGAGACAGGTTTGAAAACAAGTTCCATGCAATACTATCTAAAATAAAAGGTGTGGGGGGGGGACTCTTAAAACACTCCAGGACTTGTACCAAACCAAACTTGAATGGGACTATGGAAATGCTGTCATACTTCAGTGAACAGCTTTTGTATATATGAATTTGAGATTTGTAACTTTGAATGAGCAGTTGTGTAATAAGCAACTTAAAACGGTGTGCTCTATTTACTTAGTATAAAGAAACCAGGTGCATGCAGTTTGAAGTAATTTAAAGGGTACACAATGTAAAGCATTAACAGTATTTGAACTAGCTTGTCAAATAGCGTGACGAAGAAATTATAAAAAGTAATGGGTTGTTAAACTAGCCCTTGTTACGATAGCTTTTGATTGTTGTTTCCTCATTACAAACAAACCTGTAGTTGTGTTTTGTCTCATTCACACATGTTTAACACACAGATCCTGAACATTTAGGCTACTGTATTTTCTGCACTATAGGGCGCACTTTAAAGCCTTTAATTTCATCAGAAAGAAAGACTGCACTTTATAATCCAGAGCGTCTTATATATAAATTTATTGGGGTGTCTTAGTACGACTTTAGTAAACCACAAAGCCACACCCTCTGCAGCATTACGGCTCCCATAGTCAGGAGCATCACGGAATAATACATACTGTAATTATTTAATATCAAAATGCACCTGTCAAGAGACACACTTACAACGCCCAC